ATATTGATTTATTATGGCAGTAGACTTGCTCTTATTTTATGGCCACAACAAAATAAACAGTGACAATTATTGAAAAAATAATTGTGTTCTGAAGAACAAGTTTGATAACATTTCTTCATATAATAAGGAACTCGGAAAAACCTTTTCCTTAGTCATGGATTTTTTTAAGTACAATTTCGACGACTTAAAATTCAGGTTAGGCATATAACGTTTGTAACGTTTTAAATAAGATCTTATTTACACTGCAATTAAGAAATTAGATCATTAAATACAATAAAGATGTTTGTTTTTTGATACGGCAACATTTTTTCTTTCGCCATTTTCTTTTTTTAAGTCGCGGTTCGTCGAACTAGCAGACAGATTACCTAATGGTAAGCAATCGGCGCCACCCGCCGTGTGTGTCCATCACACGCAATACCAAAAAAGTTACTACGAGTGCGTTGCTAGCATTTTAGTTGTTAAGGATTTAAGGATAAGGGCGGGATTTGAGGATCCTTAGGAGAGGGGGAGGATTGTGCCTCCGGTATATTGCTACACTCCGGTTTTCTGTGAGGCCGTGGTATCACTCCGGTCGAGCTTATGCATCTCGAACATGCTTCGACAGTTAAATTTATTCATCCAATTTTACAACAATTACACCTAATACGTATGTGAATTGGTGTGAATCTGAACATTCGTAATGAATGTTTGAACAAAATATTTACTTAACACGCTAAATAACATTCTGAATAATAAAGTTCGAGGAATGAACTAAAAAGGGCCTGTTTCACACTGAACTGCCAGATAATTTATCATACAAAAAGTATTAAAATATGTGAATATCAATTAAGCTAAAACCGACTTAATCAGACTTTGTGAAAGGTTCTTAAGGGAATGCAAGGATAGTTAGATAAGGGTGTGGTAATAGATTAACATTTTATTGCTCGTTAACAATGGCAGTCAAATGACGTATGGTGAACGATAAAGGTACAGATACAAGGTGTGTCTGCCGCACACATTCGAGAATCGAGAGCATTTATTTTTCCAGTGTTTAAAGAAATAAACGATGTGTAGGTACTAAAAAGTGATGCATCGAATGTGATTAGATACTCTTAGAACTTAACTAATATTTGTACTTACCCAATAAAAATTTGCACTTTATAAAGTGCAAACAGAGGTCATACGAGTAGAATAAAGTAAAACAAAATAATTACGATTGAACTTATCTGCATGAATCCTACAACAGGACCTATTTACGCAAAAAGGAACTATCATAAAGGCAAAAGATTGTTTATGGATTGATGTTTGTTACTATTTAATGTACAAACGACTGAACAGATCTGAATTGAATTTGGTACAGCGATAGATTATTACATATGCGAATATTTAAATGGATATTTATCATTCCATGATATTCCACTAGCTAGACTATTATGATAAAAAAATTACACAGAGATAGATTAACTTTCAGGCAGAAGATATTTATTATACATGCATAATTCTTCTTAAGGTACCTCTAATAACTCAAGGAATATTCCTCTACAAAGATACTAATCTTTAGTTAACTCAAGCGGTAATTTACGCCTCATTAGCTTTTTATTTCCACTAGCTGACTAAGACATACAGCACCTTAACCTCTTGTAATTTACATAATACACCTTAAGTCAATATGAAATAGGTCACATAATAAAATTTATATGGTTTCCTACAACAAACTCGACTGTTGTTTATGTAATGTTTGAAGTAAATGTTTTTTCTTTGGGATATGGCGGCAAAGGAGCATACAAATCACCTGATTAGCAACACCAGATTAGTTGCAAGTGCATTGCTAGCTTTTTGAAGGTCAGGTATAGGATTGTTGCATTTCGAAGCCTAGCTGAAGGGCGAAGAGCGCGTCTCATTCAGGCTCACTCAAGTGCTGAATAAACATGGTCGCTTCTGTGAGTATTTGAACAAAATAGGGCTAGAGGTCACAGCAATTTGCCAGCGGGAAATATCTGGACTACGCACAGCACATCGAGGAATGAATTCCCAGCGGCTTGGCCTTTGAAGGCGAGTCCTAGTTCTCAGCTTCGGGCGTGACCTGTCTAGCAGTAGTTAAGGCTATGCTGGTTAATTTGCCAGTCAGGATAATTTCTAATCAATTTTACAATATTCTGCCACGGCATTTTCAGGGAAGTAAGTGGCTTTTTTGGGAGACTACTAATGTCTCAAAAGGCGAGCGAAAGAAAGGCCAACCGACGCCGACGAGGATTTGCAGGTACACCTTTGTGCTAACGGTTGTATAGAATGGGGAATCTAGACGCCCACCAAGTGACTTCGAGCAAAAAGTGGTGTCCTTACAGGTGCTGATGAGGGCCACTGCTGAAGCTTTAGTGACGTAGAAAATGCGTATGCATATGATCTGATGTTTCACATCTGTTTTCAATGAGTCCGTGGGGTATCACACCAGTCGAGTCAGCCCCATTAATGTCAAAGCATGTCATATACCTATGATTAGTAAATTTTTATATTATAAATCTAACAAATGTATTCAAAGTAATGGTGACACCATGATTTACATATTCAATAAATTGTAAATGTAATAATTGGTACGGTAGCTGGGCAACTGGCTGCCGTGCAACGTGTTGCGGGTTCGAGTCTTAGACGGAATAACTCTTTGTGTGATCCACAAATTGTTATTTCAGGTCTGGGTGTCATGTGTATCTGAAATTGTATGTTTCCCACGACACAGGAGGAAATCGTAGTGTGGGGCAATATTTTTTTAAATAAATAAAAAGAAAAAAATAAAAAGAATGTTATTTAGATTCATCATTCATAAACTATACAATATTGTAATATATTTTTTTCTTGTGACAAACTTCCAGTCAAAGATAATAAAGGAAATCAAGATTAATGACTATTTAGATTATGAACAAATCTCATAAATATCAATATCTTTTGCCAAAAGATTCCAAAACCTTATGAAGGTAATGTAATAAGATTTCTTATTTAAATTAAGTAAGCTTCAATGAACTTTTGAATAAATTCAGAATAAATTATAGGAGTCAACACTTGCATCTTGCTTGGAAAACAACATTGGAAAATTAACTATTAATGAATCAATGGCCTTATATATCATTTTATTACATTTACAAATGTTTTTTTAACATACTGGTTTCTCCTGTGTCGTTGGTGTGTTTACAAATATATAATTTCACAATACACATCACAGTCATCACACCCAGACCCGGAATAACAGTTTACAGAAAATAAAACTTTCCATTCTTTACTTATTACTGACCAGTGGCCTCATATTTCATTCTAGTTCAAAATCAACCTTCATGAATGAACTATAGTATGATATCTGCCTGTATACTGCTACAGAGAAACCCTAAAATTTCTTGCCCATCCTTCAATAGAAATAATTTTAAAAATATAGAAGTTTGGATAGATGTTTCTTAGTTTTTCACACAAAAACTACTCAGTTCACTGTAGTGGAAAGTGGTACACAAATAGAATAAAGTCTGGAATAGCATGTATGCTATTTGGGCAAAGCCAGTGGCAGAAGCTAGTTTTATGGTCACATCGGAATAATATAATAAGAGATTATTCCAAGCTGTCTTGGAAAATGAATAATGAAAAAAATTGAGAATCTATTTAGTTTTGCTTTAAGAATATAATTCATTATTAATACATACCTCTGAACTGCGCCTCCCACTCTTTAACAGATTCCATTTCCATTGAGTTAAGGTCACTAAGGTCATCATATTCCTTGTCTGATGATGTCACAGAGAATGTGGCTAGACCTCTCGATGCATCCTTTCCACCAAACGCAGCGTAGGGTCCACCTACAAAATTTATTGAAATTAAGAAATGTTACAGACTAAAAATACTCATATAATTGTAGGTATTTTTTAAACAATAAAAAAATACCAAAAGTAATGTACTTTTTATGACAGTTGGTTCATTATTATTAAAAAGAACATGTTCAATGTTTTTATAATGCAAAAGGTTACTCAAGGTGCACAGTCTGCATTTTGAATGGATAATTAATGAGTCATGGTAATGTCAACTCTATTTATAAACAGCGGTGCGGATGCACTCACCGGGCCCGTAGAATCTGCGTCCTCGCGTCACGTCGAATATCCACCCGTTGACTGCCACCAACACCCTGCCGTCAGGCTGGTTACCATCATATTGACGGAGTTCAGCAACTGTCATATCCTTACGAATTTTTGGCAGCTCCAGCGCCGGGCTTTCAGCAGGCACCTTTGTAAACTTTGCGTATATTTTATACACCAATATTAAGATAATTGCAGTTATAACCAAATTTACGGGAATGCAAAAGTCATCAAAGAAACTAGATCCCGCGTCTGAGCTGTCGGTTTCCGGTAATTTTGTTTCAGGCGCTGATGCCATTTTTTAACGTATCGGTTAACAACGCGTCCTCTTGAAGATACTGTTTAATTGTATAAATTTAAGAAAACTATTTCCATTGGCGAATGTAAAATACTAAAATCACTGACGTCAGCTTTCGGGCAACGGCAAGGCGACGATAACTTAAATGTTGTCATATACAAAAAGAGTTTATTTCAAAAAATATTTTTATAAATTATTTTTATTTTTTGTGGTTTTTTATCTGTAGGTAAAACAATATGTATTGAAGACTGAAATAAAAAAAAATTGCCAACTTCACTTTGATTCGTCATGTTTCTTAACGCGTAATTCCAATTTACAACATGAACAAAATTAAATGTCAGACCCCTAATATTTGATACTATCAACCCCAACTTTTTAATGTCAAAATAAAAAAAACATCAAAGAATTAAAAACAATTTTACGCAAAAATAGTCTCTAAAACGATAAACATAAAGCTGGCAATACTTTGACGTGTCTTACTTTGAGTGGCGGTCCATTTCAAAATTCAGTCGATTCAGAATTACAAGCATTGTTATAACATTTCATGTTTTGCACTAATAATGACAGAGACGAATGAACAGCTGTCATCTATCTTAGGCATATAATTTTGAAATTATATGACCGAAGGTTGGAAATTCGAATGATTTTATTAAAAAATAAAACAACAGCGCTCGTCTTCGTGTTCTAAGCTCGTTGATAAATTAAATAATAAAAATAGTTTTTTTAAATAAACTAGTTGCAATAAGTCATGGTGTTATAAGATCATAATTATCAATTAATACCACAGTTAGTTTAAAGCAGTGAAGATGAGGAATCCACGTTCAGATTTGTGTTCAAGATATATAACAATTTTTATTGTTGTTTCTTGTTACTGGTGTGTAATAAAAAATATATATTTAAAATTTTATTTTTTCCTATACAACGTTATCAAACAAGGATTATTTTTATTAATAAAAGTATTGCGAACGTGTAAAGGTGCAATGACTTATATGCCGGCTAATATCATACAGAAGGTCACACCACCATAGTAAATACCTTGAAAGTGTGTCAAATATTATTGTTCGTACAATTATACCGGTCATTAAATTACTATTATTTTCTTACAGTAAAATAACTTACACTGAAAAGTTATAAAAACGCAGAAGATGTATGTTTCAAATCATCCTTAAATTCTGTTTTTTTTTCAGGGTTGTGTCAATAGCAACAGTATTTGTAAATAAGACCCTGCTGAGCAGCCAGGAAGTTGCATTAGAAGCTCCTTTGTTTATAACATGGTTCCAATGCAATGTCTCCTTTAGTATATGCTATTCGTTAAGCAAAACTGGTGGCATTCCTGGTGTTTTCACATTCCCGAAAGGTACACCATGGAATTGGGATGTCATGAAACGAGTAAGTATTGGAACAAAGTAATATTTGCTGTGTACTCTTGCTCATTCTTACTGGAGTAAGTGAATTCTTCTACTATTAACATCTCTGCTATAAGTACAGCTTAAAATATGTTGTGTCTTATTAAAATTTGCTTGGGCAAGAAGGTATTCATAATGTTTTGATGATGAAGTGCTTAACTTTCTGTTAGTATTCACCAGAACTAAAGTCTAAAACTGTTATTTCAAATACTTTTCAGACAATGCTTATTAAATAAATACCAGATAGGTATTTTATACCGCAACCAGGATTTGCCACTATATTTATGAATGCTATCTTATCAATTTGTAGCTAATACAATTACACACTTATGTTCCTATTTGATAAAATCAAGATTAATATCCATGCTTAAAACACTTCTCCCCAATTAAAGTGTATGTACTAGAAATTCTAATAAATAGATAGTTTTGTAGATAATTTTCAATGTTAACTTCTGATAAAACATTACTTAATTTTAGTGAATATTGTTATCATAAATTAAATGATTGATGAATCATTTATGACAACAATTTTTTTATATGGGTAAGCCATGCTTCGTCCCGAATGAGCTGGCTCTACCACATTCCAATTGTGCCAGTCGACTAGTGGTCATACCACAGAATAATGCTTCCGTTGTTTAAGTGCAGCTACTGGAGAGCCAATCATCCCCCCTATTCCATATCATAGAAATGGATCCTCATGTCCTCAAATCTCCAAATTCGACATCCCTACTTTTACTGAGGCTTCAAAAGCCAGCAACATACTCATAACACTAAACTAAACTCATTCAAGTGTGTGTGTGTCTGATTGCTTATCATTATGCGACAAGAAAGCTAGTTTGCCCACTATCATATAAAAAAAATGTTGTCCCAGGCTTTCCCAGTCCTAAAAATGTTCTGTTGCTTCTTTTATTTCCCCAAAGAGGTACGCAAATGTACTGAGAGGTGTGAGTTTGAGTGCTTACCTACATATTTTATCTGGCATCCACATGTTTTAAAACATATTGACTTAATTATAATTTAAGAGGTATGGTAGTTATAATTATGTTTTAACAGTTGTTGTAAATAATATAACAACTTTTAAAAACCTTATTCAATATTTATCAAATATAACGAATTTAAAAATAATCCACTACAAATTAGTAAAACCATTTAGGATGTCATTTCATGATAACAGCCAAGGACACTGTCAATTCATTAGCTTTTACTGTTACACTCATAAGCATTGCTAATTGCATATGAAAATACCTCAAATACTATAAATTATTAGATTTTCAACTTTATGGGAAAAATAATGTAGTTGAAATTTCAATGAAGATGGAATGGTAGGTACTTTGATATTCGATACGATTATATTCCAGTTCAAATAAATGTAAATGTTTTTCCCTGTTTTATCAACACATTACACATTCGCGACTAAATGTCTAACTGTTAAGCTAGTAACATATATTGTGACTATTGCGTTAATCAGATAGTAAAAGATAAAACAACTACATTAACTATGACCACTTATCTATAGTCTGTTTAACTATACATATCACGATTGGTATACCAGAATGTTAGGAATAGGCTTTTTATGGGGAAAATGATCAAGTGACTTCCCCAGCCCTGGGTTTATGTAGGTACCTTCGCGCCTACATAAACTCAGCACGAGTCTGTCTGACATTCCCCACCTTACAAAAGATGGTATCCCTCCAAAAAAAAAAACTAAAGTTCTTGGCTGGTAGAGCAGGTACGTCTTGTTCGCGACTTGGGGAATTTATTTGTTTTATTATAGGTCCCTGTAGTGGCTTGAAATTAGTTGAGCAACCTCATGTAATAGTTTTAGTAAATAAGCCGTATTACCTCATTTATTTATTGACTGCACGGTTGGTGCGGTGGCTGGGCAACTGGCTGCCGTGCGACGTGTCGCGGGTTCGATTCCCGCACGGAACAACACTTTGTGTGATCCACAAATTGTTGTTTCGGGTCTGGGTGTCATGTGTATGTGACATTGTATGTTTGTAAACGCACCCACAACACAGGAGAAAATCCTAAAGCGGGGCAACGTTTATTATTTAAAAAAAAAAAAAAAAAAAAAAAAAAAAAAGAGACAAGGAGTTTTTTTTTAATATGTAATAGGTCGACAAACGAGCAGCCGGATTACCTGATGGTAAGCAATCAGCGCCGCCCATGGACATTCGCAACGGAGGAGTTACGAGTGCGTTGCCGACCTTTTAGGGATTAGGGATTTGGAGATTTAGGGATTGAGGAGGGATTGGGGAAGGGGAAGGATTGGGCCTCCGGTAACCTCACTCACACGGCGAAACACAACGCAGTGGTTATTTCACGCCGGTTTTCTGTGAGGCCGTGGTATCACTCCGGTCGAGCCGACCCATTCGTGCCGAAGCATGGCTCTCCCACACTTAAAAAGGAGTAAAGAAAAAAAAATCCGATAGTTAATAAGATGACCTACGTAATCTTTAGCTATGCTATTGTGCTTGTAATTTACCCGTTGGGGGGTTGCAATGAATTCTTCGGCGATACCCACCCCTACGACACATGTACCCATGTAGAGTAGAGGAATACCGGGTTGGTTTTTAGTCAGTAAGAGTCTGACAGTACCCTTCGCCCTTCCCCGAGGGCGATGGGTCTCCATGAGGAATTTCCAACGCGAAACCAAAAAAAAAAAAATGTGCTTGTAATTTAAATATTATTCGTACTTTTATTTTCAGGTTATCCCGCTTTCATTAATGTTCACATTGATGATAGCAACAAATAACTTGTGTCTGAAGTATGTGGGTGTCCCATTCTACTACATTGGAAGATCTCTAACCACTGTATTTAATGTGGTATTCAGTTGGGTCCTCCTTGGTCAAAGGACTTCTTACAGATGCATTTTCTGTTGTGCTCTTATTATATTTGGATTTTACCTTGGAGTAGATCAGGAGAATTTATTAGGTAAGCATTAACAATTATTATATAAAAAAAATATTCTTGTAATAAATAATGTCGCCTTTTTTTCCTTTGTTTTTTCGTCGGCGCAAACAATGCATTTTGCCCGAGCAAGGTCTGCATTTTTCATCTATTCTTATTCATAAAAGTGAACAGCTGTTCATTCGTTTCGCAAAACTCCGAAACGACCTGATCGACTTACTTAATTTTTGTCTTGAAATATTCATTACGGTCTTAAGGAATGGTAAATGATAATGACAATTTTGTTCTTTTTCCAAATCAGCTAGTGTATAATAAAATATATGTTTTGTTTTTTTTTTTGTTCCACATTTATATCTCCTAATATTAGACACATTGTATCCTTATTGTCAATGTTGAGTGATAAGTTAAATTTAACTTCCTGTCTGTCATATTTAAAAAATAGGAACTATTAAATATTTTTTATCAATTTCCTGGTACAAAGTACTTACATACGAATTTAAATGTGCCTAAATTTTTTTTATGGGTGTCAAGTTATTTTTTCTGTTACAGGTTCATTTTCTTTAATAGGGACAGTTTATGGTGTAATAGGATCTCTAATGCTGTCTCTATACTCAATTTACACCAAGAAGGTTTTACCCAGTGTAAACCAAGAAGTTTGGTTGCTATCCTATTACAACAATGCCTACTCAATTTTCTTATTCTTGCCATTAATTATAATAAATGGCGAAGTGTCCGTGTTAATGAGTTACACCAATTTCACTAGTGGATACTTCTGGATTCAAATGGTCATTGGCGGGTTATGCGGTTTTGCTATTGGATACTTTACGTCGTTGCAAATAAAGGTGAGATTCATTTGAATACAGTATTACGGTTGTTAAGCAATATTATGGATTGTTATGAGTCTCACAGAATAGGTGACCAGTATGACAGTGTCCATTGGATGCCCTAAATTGACTCAAAAAGTCTCAGTATTCACTTTCGGAAATGAGGACACAGTTTATAAAAACAATTTTATTAACATTTCAGGTTACTTCTCCACTGACACACAACATATCAGGCACTGCCAAGGCTTGTGCTCAAACGGTCCTAGCGACCCAATGGTACAATGAAACCAAAAACGTACTCTGGTGGACTTCCAACATCATCGTCCTATTCAGCAGCGCCCTCTATGCGAGATTCAAACAACAAGAAATGGAGGAAAATTCCCGCAAACCAGTACCCGAAGAAAAGCAGAGCTTAGTATGATGTTTTTAAAGTTGTATTTCGCATATTTAAAGACTGTATAGATTTTAGTTGATGCTTTGTAACTTAAGCTGTTGGGAGATACACGACCCTATTACCAGTTCTTCCATAATGAATCTTAAATCAATAAAGTTAGGATTCATATGAATAGGCAACTGAACCCAGTAATCGTTACTTTGTTTTTTTTAAGGAAAGGGATGGGATACTCTCTCTCTCTCTTTCATAAGTACAGTCTTGCGGTTGTTTTTTTTTGCGTTAAAACTGGTTATACTTTTCTATTAAATAATCGATTTGTATGAATTTATATAATATACCTACTTAATAACAGTAGATAATATTTCAATTTAAGCTGTATCCACATTTATTTGTCTTCCATATAATGTAATGTATCTACAATAATCTACATAACTTAGCAATAATCTATTGACATTCCATGAACATTTTACAAGTATTAAATAGCATTTTAAAGAAAATACGGTATTTATTCAAATGAATTATTAATATAGCAATATAAAATATTGCATTTTAGTAACATTTTTTAAATAATCATTCGTCATTGATGCAATTAGGTTTAATATATCAACTGGACTGGACTAACGTATTCTTGGGGAACATCTATGCTATAGATTTTTATACAATTTTATTATATCTAATCTCATTATGTGGTAGACTATAACACTATAAATGTGTCATAAATTATTTAGTAAAAAGGTTGTCAACCTACTGTAGGTTGACAACCTTTTTACTCAATAACCGACTAATATTATAGACTTGAAACTTTGTAAAATGTAAAACCAACTGAACAGATTTTGTTGAAAATTGACATAGAGATGGATTATAGTCTGGAATTACACAAAAACACAAGAATTATAGCGGAAAATTTGATTTTTATATGTCTGTTCCAAAGGGTTGTTGATACCTGATCTAACAACATTACATATGTCAGTTTTAGGTCTACTTAAAAAAATGTGTATTACCCTACGTTCATTAAATAGAAAGAGTTTTTACTTAGTTAATACTCGTATAAAAACTTAAAAAACTAGCGACCGCGATTAAGAATTAATCGGAACTATATTACGAAAGGCGATTTACAATCTTAATTTAAATATGTATTATGTAACAAATGTTTATTACAAGCATTCTGGTAAAATTGAACTAAAATGGTGTGACTTTATCGTTGATTATCGACGTGCATTTGAAGTCATTCTGACACTACACTTATAGCAAGAACATAATTACGGCTTTATTAGCCTAGACTAAAGTAAAACAAGATTTTACTTTAGTCTAGGTCTAAACCATTGAGCCAGTTTTTGTATTTCGAATTGAATGTAGATGACAATAAGATTCAAAATTCAAAACCCGACTCAATGGTTTAAACCTGGACTAAAGATAAATCTTGTTTAATAAGGGGGTTAGAGATTAAAATCAAATTAACGTTTTTGTATATCCTATGCTTTACTATAAATCCCAAGTTTACCCAGAATAATTAGATGTGCAGTTAGATGTTACACAAAATTAAACCCTATAATTATTATTTTAAGGTGCATGCAGACGAGTTATCTGAAAATTTAAGATCGCAAGACACAGTGATCTTTGTTCCAAATGATACAGTAGATAAACATTTCAATGCTGATGGCAAAATCAAAGTACACCTTTAATAATAAACCTACCTATATGTTTGAAATTAGTAAGTAGATTGTGGTGTGTGTTTATATTATTTTACTATTCTTTTCATATATATGTAAAAAAGTCACGCTTTGTTCGTTGTGAAATGGGCTAAAAACTTTACATTATTTTTTTCATAACGTTGGGGAAGTTTCGTTTCTTTTCTTGTAAGGGCTATTTTCCCGTTTTCTCTTTCGGTTAAATTTTGTCGAAGCTTGTAGAAAAGCAAGGCTTGTAAGTGCCTAGGTCAGCTTTTAATGAAGAATTGCCACGGGAAAACAACCCTTAAGATGTCAATGTGTATTGTCCAACGTTTTGTTGTATCAAGTGTTTTATGTTGTATACATAAACTCATGCTTATGCCCTAAAGAGGGCACCACCTGGTACCTACGATCTGTGACATACTTTGCTTCTTTAGCTTCCATGACAGTAATATTCACATCACGAGTACCTACACTTGCGCTCAGGTGCAAGAATCAATCGACACGTTTGTGACGTTCAGCATCCTGATTGGCCTGCTCCAAGCTTACCAGCCAATCAGAGGGCACAACGCAGTAAAGTTTCGATCGCTTCAACGCAAAAATATGTTTCATTCAACACACTGGCTTTTTTATGTCTATGTCGTTTTTTCGGCGACTATGAGTATTCAACTTAATATGGAATTAGTGAAATTGTTATTTTAATTACATACGTATAAAGTTAATTATTGTTTGTTTGTTAGCATTAAAATAATTTTTATTATATTTTAAATTGTTTATTTAACGTGTGATCTTAACAATCTAGAGAGATATTGTTTAATATTTTTATATTTATGTACCAAATACAAATTGTTAGATTCGTCCGGATCTACAAAGTGATCGAATAGTTCTAAGCCGTATAGTTTATTCCAGTCGATTGTAAATATAGTGTTATTAAATAAAACCCATTCTGTGTATCTGTATCTTTTTGTTCTTATACTGTAGCCCATTATTCTAATGTCCTTTAGACGAGGTTTGTCAGAGTATTTTTGGGGGTAAACACTTGGTCTTGGATACTGACTAAAGGCAAAATTGTTCCCAAATTCCTTAAAGTCCTGCGTCATTAGGGATTTTAAACTTTTCCCTTCAAAACATAGAGTCGACTTATCTTTGACATCACATTTTGGTATGTTATGCGACAAACCACTCAAATCGACAAGAGTTGGAAAAATGTCGATCAACTCAACTGGTGTGTGAATGTTTTTCGAAGATATACCTGGAGCTGAAAATATTAATGGAACCTTCAAAGCCACGTCGAAGTTGCTGTATTTTGCCCATAGACCGTTTTCGCCCAACGACCAACCTGTAAACAAAGTAAAGAAAGAAGACCTTAAAATTCGCATCCAACTAAAATAAAGCAGTTATAAACACCAGCGTGTCAAGCTACCCCAAAAGATATTGAACCTTATTACTAAACGATCAAGTCCAAAATCTATTAAAACTGGGGTAGTTTAACATGCTAATATTAATACAAATAACATAAAGGTACTGACCATGATCACTAGTAAGAACCACAATAGTATTCCGTCTATCAATATAACTAATCAATTCTCCAATTAAGTCGTCAATATAAGTTGCAGCTGCGTAGTAAATTTGCCTGATTTTTATTGACCAATCAAGTAGCATTGTGCCTAAGGGAAAGGATATGTTTAGGCGAGCAATGTCATCTCTACGCCTGACGTCACTCCAGGGGTGCCATGAAACTAAAGGTATGTCAGCCGACATGTAGGGGTGTCTCTGAGGTTTTACTCGGCTTATTGGTACTCTTTCTGCAAAATATTTATTAGTTAATTTATGTACCTATATTATTACGTAGGTACACACATAAGTATAATGAAGATGCAAATGTCAGCTATTTCTTTTGCGTGCTTTTATTACATTTTAACATTATTGTTTTGCAATTAGATATTGGTATCTAATTGCAAAACAATAATGAAAATCTATCGGTAGTTTTATGTATGTCAATAACCAACAGCTACTCTTTATTTTTTGTTTACCAAATGGCACTATAGTAGCATGGTGTGTTCTGGTTCTCTCCATGGAGGAATGAAATAAAGGTTTAGTCCAAAACTATAACTGTCAAAAATTTAATAATCAATGGTTTCAAATTAGCTAGGTACACACAACTATATTTTCTATTCCGTGGCTAGGTAATACTGTCCTAGATAAACGGATCTGACGCCACATTTGCGCCATCTGGTGAGCAAAAAACTTGCCTTTACTTATAGTTTCTGATTTCAAGTATTCAAAATAATTAACAAATTCTCACCAAGGTACTGTTCTGGAAACTTAATTGGTATGTGAGGTTTATAAAACCCAACTGCTAGCAGAAATGGTCGTGAGCTGTTCCTAGTTGTAAGAATATTAACCGCATGTTCCAAGGACTGCAAATCTGGTAAAGTTCCTTCTGGTTGGTCCTCAACATTTACGGGGCACAAGAGGTTTTTGTGAAGTCTTCCAGTTTCTTTATCTTTGCAAACGGCTGCATCTTTATATTTTTCCGTAGGAGGATGGTAAGGGTATTCAGACCAGCTGTAAGGGTAATCGTCTGTGAAGTTTGAGCTTATTCCCGGATGGAAAACTTTTCCTATGGAATAAGTATCATAGCCGTTTTCTTTGAAGAATTGGGGGAGAGTAGTAAAGTTGCCTACTGTGTGACGCCAGTAACTATAGAAATCATATAAACGCAATGTGTCTGGTCGACGGCCAGTCAGCATGGAGTTTCTACTTGGAGCACAGAGAGCTTGCTGAAAAAAAACAACGAATATAAAAAAGCACTAATTTCAAATCATAATCATCAATTTGGTGTCTAAAGTTCTTACCTGTGCAAATGCGTTTTTGAAATTTGCCCCCTCATCTGCTAACCTTTTCAAATTCGGTAAGTTGATAGTTTCGTCCGAGAGATGGCGCAAGTCGTCGACAACAATCATTAAAATGTTCGTATTTCTTTTTTCCGTACAATATAAATGGCAAAAAGTTAAAAATATGAAAATATTTAAAAATAAAGAAAGTTGTGAAGTTCTCATGATTGTAATGAAACTCAGATCAATTAAAAGAGTATAGGCATAGGCACAACATGGAATGAAACGTAACAGTATTTTATATAATACAATGGATGGTTAATTAAATATTTTTAAGAAACACGGTTATAGTGAGTGTGAATCATAATTAGAAATCAGTTTAGAGAAGTTTTTAACATTTTTAATTTATTCATTTTTCTTTATATCTGAATAGTTGAGTTCTGCAGGTAACGGAATGTACACTGTTTTTATTATTTTGTTGGACCAAAGATTACGCACCTAAACAGAAGTAATACACCTTTTCCCAAGAAGGTAGGTATAATACGCGTAAATTTTATTATCAGTAAAGCCAGCATATTATACAAATAGTTTTAGATTTCAAGTTTTTAAAATATGTAATTACTGTGAAATCCTGTTGAACGTTTTCGTGATTATGTACATTTACAAAGTGGTATGTATAAAATAGTTTATTCACTGTCAAGAAGCCTGACTTAAAGCGTCAGGATTTTTATTGAAATAAATAAAGTAACAATTGGAGTTACTGTTATTGTTGCTGTGTCGCATCTGTATCAGATATTATTTTGTCTATGACCCATAGTTATCCACACAGTGACAAGTCGTACAAGTGTGTTTTCATGTACACAAGTAAACGAAGGCTTTGTCGTATGACACACACACACACATCTACAAACGAACAAGTGGGCGTTAGGGTATTGTCATTCAAATCATCTGTTCCGTAAATTGTTGTATATTTTGTACATAAAATCTAATTTATTTTTGATTATTTATTTAATGCGAGTGTTATTATAAAATAATTGATTGAGTGCGCGAGTCAGTTATGTGTGTTTAGAGTTTTGTTTTTATTCTCGTGTGACGTCATTGTTTTCGACTGCCAGTACGACGCAATAGCATTTTACTCGAAAATGGATTTAAAATGAGAATTGTTTTCGTAAACAAGGTGAGTGTGTTATGTAAGACGCATATTATGCTCATATTACGCATTTAATAAAGTTAGATTAGTTCGCAACGTAGGGTGAATACACTTCATCGATTTCCTTTGTCCTCGGTCCCCTTTTATGTTTGAAGTATATAGCTACTTACTTAGTGTTATAGTAGATCTACCAGCTGTTTCGAAACAACATAAATATTTTGGTGTTGATAATCTACGATTGTATACATTATTGATTTATAAAGTTGTGTGATATTGTTTTGTTTTGCCTTATGTAATCTGTATTACTAGTTTTCAATCAATAATTCGATCGTACTGTTTTCAAGTTGTTGTCTATTTTTTTTAGTGAAGATATAATGTTGTTAAAGGTACCTCTATATGATTTTTGAACTACCTTTTTGATTATTCATTTGTTAAATTTAGTTCTAGTTAAATCTACCTTCATTTATTTATATTTAATTAGTTCCTTAGTGTTAATGATGACAATTAGCTTACAGTAATAAAATTATTTTATTTAATCCAAGTGTCCCTAACAATTATTTTTAGTAGTAACATTTTAAGTACATTGATCCCTAAATAATGAGTAGAAATATTAGAAAATAAATGTGAAATAATTCCATCAATTAACCTACCTACATTTAAAATACATTTTAAACAAGACACACTAATAGAACAAAACGGTCAAGGTTACACTACATTCAGCATCTTGCTAAGGTAAGTTTGTATTTAAATATTTTCCTTATCTATTGCATCAACTCCTTTAGTATTGCATACTTACAATGCAATAATTGTAAGTAAAAATCCAGCCAGCATTACATTATTCTTTTGTAAGAAAAATTTTAAGGATGATTTTTTATCAGAATAGAACTTATTTCTATTATTTTCTATGTTCATAATAAATAATATATTTATCTTTGCCTTATCTCATTTGTTATTGTGTTTGTTAAATTCTTTTGTTGGAAATAGATACTTGAGCTGTAAAATAGTTTTATGTAGGGTATTTTTGTCATTCGTTTAGTATACTCGTAGTACATGATAAGTGTATCAGTGTGTGTGTGTGTGTGTGTGTGGAAGAAAACCAAAGGGACCGCTTAAAAATAAAATATTTATCATTTTAAAACCATGTGTTAAATGAGGCTATATGAATAGTCTTGCTTGGTGTATGAAATTCTTCCTTCACATATGAACTATAGCACAGACGAAAATTTCAATTAAAATTGTTAACCACTTCCCTGTTCGAGGAATCGAGGTATCAAATATGAGTCACGGCTATTGCTTAACTATTTTATGGATAGTGAAACTGAAAAAATATTTTCGCAAATGGATTGAAGCGGAAAGATCTGTGTTCCATAATAAACAAGGAAGGCAGAATTAATTAGAGCTTTCTTTCACCAGGCGACGCTCACTCAGCATGTCAGCGGAGTCGCCACGGCATGTGCGGTCAGGAGGGCCCCTGACCGTGCCCTCCCAGCCACCGAGTGACCGCAGCATCATCGATGCCGTCTCCGGGTTTATCAACGACGTGACACTTTCCTCTTCATCATCAGTAGACCCTAAAGATGTCATTCAATGGGCAAGGTAAGGAAGTCATTATTATTAAAGTTAAATAAAGTTCTGGACTAGAATAGTCTTTGATTATAATTTGTTATTTCATTAAGAACATAAATGATTTTAAGATGAATTTGATAATTTATTGTTTTATATTTTTGTATGTGGGTAGAGGTAACATTTTGTACATAACTTACATTTAGATTTAATTAATGACATAATCTAAATTGACATAGAAATAATTGTTTTAATAATTGAACCACTTTATTTGTTAGTCAGCAGAGACGTAGACGACTAGTCTTTTTAACCAAGTTTAAAAAAGGAGGAGGTTCTCAATTCGACGAGTTAAAAAAAGAATGATTAAATTACCTTTTTTGATTGATAAAAATTACAAACAAATTTTCAATTATTATGTATCATTTTTTTATAAAATACAAAAGATGATATTTCTATCAAAAATACCCAATAGTCATCAGTTTTGCATTCAACATTAGGTACTACTACTTACTAAGTACTTGTTATTACATTAAATTACATTACATACATTCCAACAATCAACTTCAAAAAAAAAAGTAATGAATACAAGTAAACTTATGTATTTAATTAAATGTATATAAATAAAGATCATTTGGAACTATTCTAGTTCTTTTTGTATAGACTATTGATTGCACTAATTTGTCTTGGGAATGTAAGCAGGTGGATGCTATTTCGATCATTTCCATACTTGCAAGCTACATTTGGTTTGTTTGCTAAGTATTAAACACGAAATGATGAATGAATTTTAAAGATGTATTTCATACATCCTTAAAATTAATCTAATAATAAAATCAATCATATACCACAAAATAAGAGTAAAATTATAAAAAAGAATGTACAATAGGCGTTATATATTATTTAAATCCAAAATTATAATGTACCAATGTACTAATGTGTAGGAATATAGAAATTCATAATAAAATGAAATGTTATGGACATTGCCAAAATTAATGAAGAAGTCAATATTCTATAATCAATATGAACCTTTTCTGTAAATCTGTGTTTTCTCAAAGCAACTAGACTTTCAAATATTCAAGCAAGTAAAATCTTTTTATGCAGGTTCGAAACAGCAGACATAAACGAGCCAACACCTGAAGGCGACAGTGACAGTGATGTGTCTCCGTTACTCCTAATCCTGGGCTACGGAGCTGGTGTCCAAGTCTGGCTGATACCCCCTACCGGGGAGGCCCAGGAGGTGTTGTCATGGCGACAAGGCACAGTGAGGGTGCTCCGTATACTGCCTACTCCGCAGCACGGCGACTGCTTCGCGTCGAAGAGGCCCCTTATCGCCTTGTGTGACTCTGCCAGCCCCGGCCCATCATTTTGTTCACTCAGCTTCATTTCCATCAGAGGTGGTGAACAGGTAAGCTTTATCCAAAAAGGTTCTTTTAAACAAATAATAGTAAAGATATAACTGTAAAAATAACTGCATGGTCACCAGAGTAAGTTACTGGAATATTTTTATTTTATTTTAAATACGTTGTTGTTGTTGTTGTTTTGGGTTACCATGTGATGTGTAGATACTCACGCTAAATTATGTTTATGAAGGCCCTATAATACAGCAAAAAAAACGAAGTACACCAAGCATTTATAATATAAGTTAATATATTCCTACATAGCGATTCCACATAACGATTCCTGTTTAATATTCAGTACGAATAATAATAGAGAGATAAGTTTTGTTGACCCAGGTTACACGCGTGTGCCTGTACAACACGATATCATATGTATACACACGGCAACACACTAAGCTAAAAATAACCAGCATAAACTGACCGCTGAATGTAGGGAAAAATGATACATTTCGAGACCATGATACACTGATTTTGTAGGTATATCTTGATGTGCAGCAACAGCTGTGTACTATATAGTAAACATAATAATAATTTGCTCAATACGGATCGTAGAGTACTCGTAGTAAACTTTCGGCCAATAAATTGAACATTGTTTTTATCGAAATGTAAACAAAATTGTCTTATGTGACGTTATGGAGGCGTGTCTTTAGTTTACTTAATACCTATCTGTGAGTATGTGATGCTTTGTGGAAATTTTACTTTAAAAAGTTTGTCGCGACTTTTGTTCCACGGTGAAATCATCCTCATTATCGCTTATCACCAGGCGAGATAGTTGACAGTTGTAAATAAAGAAATTGACGATTTTTCCTTTCTTACGAAACAGGTAAAGAGCATAAAATTCAAGAACCCCATACTCGATGTGTTGGCGAACAAGCGATCGGTGGTGGTGTCGTTTTCCGAACGTTTTGCGGTATTCGACGCTGCGACTTTAGAAGACCGAATGGCTGTCACTACTTGTTACCCCTGCCCATGTCCTTTGGGCGGCAGCTTGCCAATCAACCCGTTGGCGCTTGGAGACCGCTGGCTGGCTTATGCTGATAAGAAACTGAACCAGTCTAAGAGAAGCAGTGGAGGGTGCGAAGGTAAGATTCTGAGATTATAACTAAAGTACTTCGTTTAAAGTAACATTAGAACATTTACGAAAACTTTACTTACTGTGCGTTAAACCGAATTTGAATTTTATTATTTGGTATTTGGTAAAATGATAGAATGACAAATAGCGACTGCAGTAAGTAGTGCCTCTGTAAATAGTTCGTTTTGTAAAGTTTTTTTTGCTTTCCATGTTGTTCTTATGACAACGGAATATAAGTTTAAATCGGTTGAACAGACAGTAAAATGGGTTATCCTAACAAGAATAAGGAGAAACATGTATATATATAATATCATGTACAGTTATTGTGATATTTTTTGTTCCCTAAGGAGTTGTAAACAAGGTTAAATCCTAACTAGATGCTCTCGCGCTGTACTATCCTCCGCTTGGCTCCGATTGGTCGAAGCGTGACTTTTTAGTCTATAGGCTTTCTCGATAAAATAAATGGACTATCTAACACATAAATAATGACTAAATTCGGGCAAGTAGTTTCGTTGATATCCGCTTTCAAACTAACTAACAAACAAACTCTTCAGCTGTGTAATAGTAGTAAAGATATAGCACAGAAGGTTCACGAACAAAAACGTGTCTTATCGATATAACTAACGTGTTAAACATATGAAACACAACAAGTTTTGTATAAAATTTATATCTAGTGTAGTGTCGTTGAATTCCTATTTCTAAGGCAGTTGCAAGTTGCAACCTACGCCGACTGACGTCTTACTATCAGCTGATCCATTTACTCGTTTGCTGGAATATTTATTAAAACAACAAACAAGTAAAATACACATAAAGCAGAATTATTAGTGAGTATTAAAAACCAAACAATACTATGGACGAATATAATTAGTATTGTAGATCAAAAAATACTACACGATGTAATGAGTTCAATGACACGCACGTATCGTAGTGATAACATTGAGTGATTAAAACAAACGTCTTTAAGTGTAACCGTGTGTAAACATCGTCTGACAGGGATCACGAACATTCGGACGTTTTACACATAATTCATCTCAAAAACTACGGGTTGCCATAGTATAGGGTACTACCATAATAGCTGTGCCGCCAAAATAAAGAGCACCGTGTAAAGTACTGTTGAAAGTGGTGCGAACCCAGATCCGTTCGACATACCGGACTTCTGCTTCTAGGTCTCTTTTCTTTTTTGCTTTGCCAGTGATCAGTAACTTTTTCAAGTTGTCATTGTCATTAATAAACACCGTAGTTGTTCTAAATATGGAATTAGGAAACCTGGGCTTCCTCATCAGTTTCTCAGTGGTGTTTAAATAATCTCAAAAATACTTGGAAAATGTCTCATTTGTACGGCTTGGGTTTCAAACGCTCAATCGCATGCACGAGATGTGGGGGCTTGGCTAAAGTGACAATGTTACATACTATATAGATGCTAAAATGTAAACGTACCTACCTATTTACCTAATTAATCTTAGTTCCTTAGTACATCAATAAATCAATTCATACAAGTATGTTCATTAAGAGTGTATACTTTTGGGAATCTCTTCAATGAGTATTATACACGTGTTGAGTAAATCATAATTATAACCCGCCTACCAACAAGCTGTAGTCACAAATATTATTGGCAGCAATTACTCTCAACACTTTCATATGACTTAAATGATTCCATGACGACAATACTTATTATTACCTGTGCTGTGCCAAATGTTTGCCAATTATGAATACTACATTCTCGTGTATTTATCCCGATTTCCGTCCGTCCGGTGGTGTGACTTTCGTTTAGTACGAGTACTTTAGTAGATTTATTCAAGTAGCTTAGTAACATAGGCAGAACTTTACTTTTGGACTTGTGTTTTTGGATATTAGAAATAGTAATTCGGTTGGCAACTTGGCACTACCGTGTAAATATTCTTTTCGCCTATCTATCTCCTAGTTATCCACAAATAAAGGATCCAGGTTCTTATTAAGAACGTTATAAACATTACACCCTACTCTGTAGTGAAGCTTTAAATCAAAACACAACAAAGAAGGAGAAGAAGCGAGGCGGGTCTTTCCTCAGTAACAGTTTGACACCCACTGTCTCCCTATCCAGAGCAGATGGAAGTCATTTGAAGATTCTTCCCAACTTTAAAACATTTTTTAATAGGTCGTCAAAAGTTGACGGATTACCTGATGGCAAGCAATCAGCGCCGCCCATGGACGCGCGCAACGTAGGAGTTCAAGTGCGTTGCCGACCTTTTAAGGATTAGGGATTAGGAGATTTAGGGATTGGGGTAGCGGAAGAATTGGGCCTCCGATAACCTCACTTTTCTGTGAGACCTATTCGTGCCGAAGCATGGCTCTCCCACACTTAAATTTTAGTTATTAACCGACTTCAAAAAAAGGAGGAGGTTCTCAATTCGATTGTATTTTTTTTTTTTTTTATTTTTTTTTTTTATGTTTGTTACCTCAGAACTCCGTCGTTTATGGACGGATTTGCAAAATTTTTTTTATGATTGAAAGGATATGCTTCCAGATTGGTCCCATTCTTTTCAAAATTGAGATTTGATGATGGGATCCATGAGAAATCGAGGGAACTCCTCAAATATTATAGGCAACTATATAGTAATTTTAATATTTTCATAGAGCACTCAAGCATTTACAGTCAAAAAGTAATATTTGATGGGGTGGAACTGGTGAAGAAGATCAGAAATGGGTGATGAAACTTGACACTCGCATAGATATCACAATCAAGGTAGTTCAGCAACTATGAAAATGCACTGTAAACCAATGATCTTAAATAATTATGTTGGAAATGTTATCATCGAACTGATTTAATGATGATTATGGAGCTGGAAGGTAGGCACTGGAACTGCGTACCTAATTAATATATCCTAGCCGTGTTTGGGCTTGTTAGAATTGTTATAAGATGCACTTTGGCTGTAAGGTACTATTGAACTGATGTGATGATGAAGCTGGAAGGTTGGCATGGGGCCTAGTATTGTGTAAGCTTATTAGAGCTGTCAAGAGCAATGGAAAGGGCTATGCTCATAGTTTCCGTGCATGTTCGAATCAGAAATGAAGAAATCCGCAGAAGAACCAGCGTCACCGACATAGCCCGAAGAAATGCCAAACTTAAGTGGGCACGGCACATTGCTCGTAGAACAGATGGCCGATGGGGCCGAAAGGTTCTAGAGCGGGACCGCACACCTTTGGGGGCGGAGTTTGGCCTAGTATTGGCTATTTTGCATTAGTCCACGTGGACTGCGTTTACACATTAGTGGTGAAATGCGTCATTGTGTTCTTATCGTTTTCCTGGTAATAGGCTAAGAGAATTCATTGGCATTTTTAACAAAACAGTCGTTTTAAATGGGTTACAAAACAATAATTGCGTCGTACAAAACAATAATTGTGTTTCTTTTGTGTGCACATATGTAGATAATACTTACTTAAAAAAGGTTCATACATTGAATGACTCATAAATGTATATTTACAATAGCGATGGTCTTTTGTATTTTTACCAACTTGTCTATATATGAATGTTCTCAGTAATAACAAAATAGTATTCTTCATTTAATGGGTTACAATTGATACAAAACAATAAATGCATCGGTCTTTTTTCTATGTACGAATGTATTTAATCATAGATACAAAATTAGATTGCATTTGGTATCTTTGAACTTTATCTGTCTGTTGATGAAAATATCTAGTTTTTTGTTATTTGGCGAGAACTAATATGAATTTATGATAAGATTATTATTTTTTTTTAACTATAAGTCATAAGTATCTCATGCATCATATCATCTCTCCTCGAGATCAAAACGATTACACAGTAACAATGTACTATGATATGTATTTCTACGTATAAGTATGACATTGGTAACTTTTTCAAAAGAAATGTAGGAACGATATTGACTTCTTTGCCATAACACATTATAATAAAAAAAACACTAAACGGCTACAAATAAAAAAAAATTTTACAAAATAAAAAAAACCGCCTTCAAAAAAAGTCAAGCAATAAAAGTTCCTACACTAAAAAGTAAAAAAATAACAATTTGAATTACTGTAAAAAAACTTAGTTTATAGGTAAACTTATTTGACATTAATATTTTGCAAATATTCAAAATTTATTACTTATTTTTGGAGTCGGTGCCAGCCCATGCAAGGAAATACAAATGTGCAACAATCCCTTGAAAAACTACCTCTTACTTAATTATAAAACTACTTAATACCTATTTGCATACTCAAATATAGGTGTATTAATTAAGACATAAATACAGATTAGACTTCTCTACAAAAAATGTCCGATTTGCACATTTTTTTTAAATAAAAAATATATACTTACAAAAACATTTTAAGTACATTGAAAATGTTTAAGCATTATGTACGAAAAATGGCACCGGATATTAAAAAGCTAACTAACATTAAGTTTCAACATTAAAATGCTGGCACCGACTCCAAAAATAAGTAATAAATTTTGAATATTTGCAAAATATTAATGTCAAATAAGTTTACCTATAAACTAAGTTTTTTTACAGTAATTCAAATTGTTATTTTTTACTTTTTAGTGTAGGAACTTTTATTGCTTGACTTTTTTTGAAGGCGGTTTTTTTATTTTGTAAAATTTTTTTTTAGAATAAACATCATGTTTTAAGATATCTTTAACAAAGCTTTAGTTTTAGTTTCACGTTTCACCTTTACACGAGTGCATAAATCGTAGGACAATAATAGTAGCTCACACGACATATTGTCGGCGACAGAGGGGTACATAATTTATTAGCACGTTCACATTTATGCGCCACATTCAGCTTGCTACTGGTTGCAGTGTTATCACTGCAAACATTTACATATTTTTTTTATATTTAAAACTGTTTAGTGTTAGTTATTTTTCTATAATGGATTATTTTATTATACTTGATTTTATTTTTTTACTAGCGGTTCGCCCATGCTTTGCCTGGGAGTCAAACTGCTTCGGTAACGACGAACAACAAAGTGGTCGCAATTTCTAAAATTTTCTTTTTTGGACTGTGTTTGAGCCTTGTACTGATACTAAAATAACAAACAAAAGAATCCGCGTAGGTAATTGGTTTAGCAGATCTCGAGATTGTCAAATAAAAAAAAATTGACATTCAATAACTGACAAATGTGCATTAAAACAACTCAGTTTGTTGTTTGTTTAAAAAAACTTTAAGTTTTTTTGGTTAACTGGCAGAAAATGCTTTAAAACACTAAGTCTATCTTTCATAGTGTTAAATAAAAAAAAAACAAGTATCAAACTACTCATTTTACAACTTAACAAGCCTGGAGTCAAAATCCTTGAGACGTAAAGAATGCATAAGAAATGATGCAACAGTTTATTCTCACTTAAATGCTAGACTGATAAATGAATTGCAAAGTGCATCTAAGTGGTATAAAAAAACGTTGGTTTTGCTTGTATTTTATAGTTCGATAAATGTTAACATAATTCAATCATAACTCATTGACTGTGTGTGAGGATCAGTGAGGAGTCATAAAAAATACCCTTTTCAAAACAAGCTTTTATTAAACGAGTCACTATGACTCAGTCCAGGGACTAAGCACTTCAGGAAATTCTTACAGCTTTAATGGTCGTGAAAATTAAACGTGTATACAAAAAATGTATCTCAATTGGTTACCTAAAGATATCTGCTTCGATTTTTTTTTAAAGAAGCTTTGCCCCGCAATTTGATTTTCTCCTGTGTCGTGGATGCGTTTACAAACATACAATTTCACAGATTCGGAATAACAAATTCAGTTAGAAGATTCCATTTTAAAAAACATTCATGAATTGCAAGTTTAATAAAAACTTCAATATCACGAATTATAATACGGTTTTTTGTAATAACATATATTCTGTATTATCTATTAAGATTTTTTAGATATATTTTAATGTAGCATATTATTCTGGTTCACAGAGGTGACACTGGTTCATAACAGAATGTATACTTTAAGATAACTAAAGACGATAAGGGTTATCTAATTTGACATCAAAACAAATATAAATAAGGTAGCACCTTGAATTTTTTTTAACAAACAACACAAAATTGTTTGAAACGCTATCTTCGATATTCTTATTACATTATATTGGTTATTTTAATCCTCATATTTTGATTTATGTAGTTGACGTAAATATAACATGACATTAACATTTTTGTACTACTTACTAAATTCATAACAAATTACACATACCTAAGTATAATAGTATAATAGTAAGTACATACATTCGACTAAGCACGTGTCCTGCCTGTACTCGCCTTACAGAATAAATCCCAAACAAAACCAACTCAGTTGCAACAAAGCATTGTTCGATGTAAATAATAAAGAAGTATAACGGTCGATTTTATACTTAATACGCAATTCAGTTAGTGACTAATGCCCTTGTCTGCATTCTAGTACAATGCAATGCTGACAACTAAAATATCGATCTTGTACAACTGCATAAGTACAAAAGGGTTTTACTACGAGTCCTTGGATAATTCAAATAAAATATGTTTTCTTCTATCTTGAGTAGATGTCTTGTGGCAGGTATGATGATGAAAGGAATTAATTTGTTTAAATATGAAAATTTTGACCTCCGTCCTTCCTTTTCCCTCCAATCTCAAAATCTCCAATTGGGATTTGCATTAGTGTAATCCCCAAAATAATGGCAACGGACTCGTAATTCTGGTGTAGCGCCGATTGCTTACCATCAGGTAATCCTAAGCTCATTTGTCGACCTATCACATAAAAGAAATACTATGTTCTAATACCTGTTCGTTAATCCTCACAAGTTGCTAGGTACTACTAGGTCAACGATGCAGTCTATTTTAATAAAAGCCAAGGAAAATTATGACACATTTAAATGTGTCAATGTCACGGTTCACATTTATGGCGTGGACTGACGGCCATTTGTAAATATTTAATGTAATATAATTTATGATGCTTAGCTTTTACCTTTGCACGTATTCTTTACCAAGTAATTATAATATACCGTATATACTTATAAAAAAGAGGCCTAAATCAAATAGGAAGGTATTAGAATCTTAAAAATTATGTTTCAACATTAAGGTTTAATTTTGAAACACCCTCTTTTATGAGTTACTTCTGTTTTCTATTAAACATACGACTCGTACATAGCTAGAATACGATTAGCCTATCTATGGATTCAAGATGTTTATCTAACACACTAGTTTTTGCGTGATGTTTCGCTACGGCTAGCATATCTATAGATTCTTTAGAGTCGAGGTGATTTACTTATCTCTCACGTTAAGGCTAGCGTGATGCTACGCTAAGGCTGGCGTCTTAGATAGCCTTTCTTGAATTCGTTGGCTAAAAATGGGATGATTTTTTAATCTAATTAGGTCAGATATCAAAACACAAAGCCACCTCAAACTAATTTCTTTGAATGTTAGATTTTCAACTTTATGTTATTGTCAATAATGTCGAGTACCCATTGAAGAAGGCAAAATATTGTACATTATTCCATGGATTCGGGTTTTTATACCATGAAATTAACTCTTATGTTCATTATGATAAGAGTCATTAACTAATCTACATGTAATAAAAATGAACACGAATGTCTCTTGGTCATGGCATCACGCGTGAACGGTTATACTAATTCCGATAACGATTTAATGCTATATTTGAAAAATCTTCTATCACTCCTGTGACACAAAAACATATCATAACATAGTAATAATTATAATATTATAAGGGTCATTATTAAATGAAATAAAAAACATTAAATGTATAACAAATGAATAATAAAAAAAAGAATTATACATATATTTAAACTTCTCGATTTCTTTTGTTTTTTATTAGAGGCTGTTGACTTTATTTGTAAAATGTGTGTGTGTATTAGTATTGTTGACCTTACACCACTGCATATCATGTTTTGTATACTCGTGCGTGACTAATGCGTGCGCATGTGTGTTCTTTATTGCAATAGTCAATTGTAAGCGGTTATTTATTATTATTATTTTAATTTTTTTATAATTTAATCCTTGATTTTTATTATTGGCTATAATGCTATAAAATAGTATTTTGCAAATCAAATCAAATAGCTTTATTTGTTAAATATAACAGTTTCTTTTTGCAAAGCAACGAATAAAATGGTTTTGATTTGTTACATAAAGCGAATAGATTAAAACATAATTTACTCATTTCAACAGTAATCCTATTCCACTTAGACTAATTACGTAGCTTAATTACTTGAATAAGATAAACAAATCGTTAATTAATTGTCAATTTAGTTGTAATCATCATTATCGTCATCAAACCAGGTTACAGGTTAAGGTCAACTTAGATCCTGTAAAGGGTTTTTGTATAAATTATGGCTTGTAAGACATAATTCATAATAACTATTGCAACACACACAAAATTAATTAAAATTGCTTATTCTAAAAAGCTCTACTAGATTCAAGTTACACTGAGACCCATGATCGGTATATAACTTTGGATGAGACCCTAGTACAGTTCAGAAAAAAATAAATAGATAGATAGAAAGATATAATATTCTTTATTGTACACCATAATAGTAAAAATCACAGGAAATAACAAGACAGGTAAAGGTGGCGGTCTTTTCCCTAAAAAGCCGTTGTCTTCCAGACAACCTTTGAATGGAGTTTAACTGTAGAAGTATTTAATAGTAATATAATATTTATTTTCAGATATTAAATTTATATACTTATTTTAATGTACAAACAATATTTTATGATACGTCATCCAATGCTTCATAATAAATCTGTCCAATTTACTTGCCACAACAAAGCTATAACAAACTTAAAACATTTTTAAGTATCAATTTAAAATCACAATAATAACCTCAAAATATCTATTCACCAGCCGAAGGCGTAACTAGCTACACAGCAACAGTACTGCATGCAGCCAAGTCCCTTAGCAAGGGTCTACGTGGGCTCGGAGAGAGCGTGGCCCACAGTCTGGCGGGGGGACGAAGCACCTCCCAATCTCCATCACCGCCTAACACTGATGTGCAGCAGCCTGGAGTTGTAACCATATTGGATATTGAGGTATGTTGTTTTATTTATTATTTAAGGATGTGTTTATGGGGTCATTCAGTAAGTTTGAGGCTTTTATTTTGAGGGCGAGGAGTTATTTAAATGACTTCTCGCTCTGTGGGGGGAGAGATTATCAGACTCTAACTGACTAAAAACTATCCTGACCATTCTCCTGCTCCAGGTCGACGTACATTATTGCGGTTGCTCTGCAACCCCGGCTGAAGTATTTTTAAGACTGGTCTTGTATTAAAATAGGATGAAAAAATTAGTTTCATTATCTCAGTCTAGTTTGTCGCCCTATTTTAAGCTAAAGTATAGAAGCAACGAGAAGTTCTATTTGGTGCAAACATATGGACCTTTGTGTTTTGTTTACAAACATGTCACTTCAATTTTAGCCTGGGTATTTTTGCTAATATCTTTATTGTCAACCTTATACATATTAACTTAAAGTTCAATTAACTTGTTGTTTGATTATTTACTTTTTTAAACTTAGGGTAACGAGGAAGACGACGGCCAAGACAGTGAAGAGTCATGTGACCCAATCGTGGCTCACTTCATAGCGCACTCGGAAGCGATAATAGCTCTGAAGTTTGACGCTAGTGGTATGTTGCTGGTGACGGCTGACCGACGCGGCCACGATTTCCACGTGTTCAGGATCAACCCGCATCCTTGTGGCTCCAGCCTGGCTTCCGTACACCATCTGTATATACTGCACAGGGGCGATACTACCGCTAAAGTGCAGGTATGACTTAGTCAATAATGATATAGGTGTTTCTATGTTGATGTCTTGTTAAATAACTTTGTTTTAATGTTTGGTCGTAAATGAAAAATCTTTAACTCGCAGACTTTGAAGTTACGTGCATAGCAGTTAGTAAAAATGTAGTTTCTGATCAGTCGCTGATTTTGAATTTGATTGGACAAAGAAGGTGTCGTTATTTTGCTTTTAAAAAAGCAATTGCAGTTTACAAATACAGCTTTAATGAAAAATTGCCATATATGTAATCAATTAGGCAAATTAAATGACCCATATCATTTATAAGTCGAGATGGATTCTCTTGAGTTTTTAATCAAATTACTTCTTCCGCTATGGCCCATAGCGGAAGAACTCCTTTTATCTCCCTTTTATCACCCATAGCCTATGGGTGATAAAAAAAGAGTGTCAGTCTTACAGACAAAAAACCACTCCATTTCTCCTAAAAAAATCTTCTTACTTAACTCTTAGCCATCCTTAGGTATCCAATATAGCTTTGGTAAACAGTCTTCTGCAAGTCTGTCCTCGGTTATAACCATAAATATATACATTAATACACTGATACAATAACATGATACATCCAAGAGACTTATAAGCTAGTGTACCAATTTCTTATAGGTAAGCACATCATGCATAAATTATTGATGTTGAGCGTAGCTTAAAGCGTCATTAAGAACATTATATATAAATTACAATAAAAATATATATGAGATTAAAAAAAATATTTATAAATTATTAAAATGTTTATTTGTTTACCAGGACATAGCAATATCATGCGACAGTAGGTGGGCGGCGATATCGTCCCTGCGCGGCACGACGCACGTGTTCGCGATCTCCCCGTACGGGGGCGCTGTGGGCGTGCGCACGCACACACAGCCGCGCGTCGTCAACAGACTGTCGCGGTTCCATCGCTCTGCCGGGTTGCCTATACATGCTGTAGCTGGGAAACGACCTACGCCAGTAAGTTTACACTACATATCACTATTACTATTACACTATTTTATGGATATAACATAGTGTAATAGTAATATTGAATGAACGCGGGGGCTCGGTCTAGATATGTCGGTCTAGGTATAGACATATCTAGACCGAGCCTATTTCTATATTCCATAGTTATTAATATAGAAATAAGATTATATCGGTTACTAGCTACTCTCTCATTTAATCGTAGCGTTGTTACATCGTAGCTACCTATTAGTGAAAAAATGTTGGCAATCCGACCAGCCGTTCTTAAGATTACCCCCTACACACAAACTTACAAATCAGAAAATTCGTAATCTTGAAAAAGATATTTCAAATCAACTAGACACGACAAAAACATTCATCGTCAGTTTTCTGTAACGAACAAAAGAAACGATATTATCACGAGTGACCGTAATTAAATAACTGATTTTTGTTTGATATGTCAATCCTCTTTTTTATAAATATGTCAAATAAAACTCAAAACAAAAATCTATTTATCTCTTCCAGGTGGGTGACACGTTGGCTCAAGGAGCGTGGTTCCCCAACCCCCGCCTGCCCCCATACCCCCTCCCCACTACACTGTCCCCCCTCGCGCAACTACGCCCCACTGCCAACATACCCACGCACACCATCACTAGAAACAGCTCCGGTAAGTTATTAAATCTAAAATATATAAGAAAGTAGTTACAGTATTTATAACTCGAGAATGGTTGAATTTGACTATATACTCTATGTTGTAAATTCGTGTATGCTGCGATATACATTGTCAATTAATGCAAATAAAAAGTATAATTACTGTAAATTATTATAGTTTATTAAATACTGGAAATATATATATATATATATATATATACATATATTCACTTGGGAGACAATTCACGATTCTATTCGTACATGATATTGCAGTTGACAACTTCGGGAATTTACAGTAACGAAATTGTCAGGGAATTAGAACCGGGACAAGGACATAGGATAGCGTAGAGTAGAGTAGGGTAGGTTAGGTAGGGACTAGGGTAGGTAGTGTATGGTACAGTAGGGTATGGTAGACTAGGGTAGGTCGAGTAGGGTGGGCTAGGTAGGGCAGGGTATGATAGATAGTGTAGGTAGGTGACTAGGTTGGGTAGTAGGTAGCCAAGTGACGGAAGCGAAGCCCGGGCAATAATTAAATGTTTTTGAAAAAGATACGCCCTTGAGCTTCCGAATACCTTTTAAGCAATATTGCGAAGGATCTAGATGCTTTCTACACGGCTATCTAAGTATCCTGCGTCAACTAAATCGATATACTGATATCACAGATATCATAAAAAATGTAGGAGAAATGTAACTAGGATGCGTGATGCCTTAGGGGAAGTTATATATACATACTGTATGAAGCGTTTTTAGGCCACATCTATTTAGTCGTTACTATCTTTTTAGTCTATCTTCTCATTAGAAGATATATAGTTACAGCCGGTACATAGTTATAGGTTCGTCCCCAATAGGGAAGAGTTACATTTCTGAGTTCATCATATACCGGTTACATTTCTGAACTAAAATACAGTTTAGAAAGTAAGAAATAAAAAAAATATACTGCAACTTAACAAGCTTATTCTTAATGAACAAAGATCCGAAGGGTCCTCCTTTGTTCAGCAGTGGACATTATTCAGGTTTTGAAGCTAATTTTGATGTTCTTTGGCCAGATATTTAGTATACTTACATAATTAGAAGAACGAGCTTATTATCATATATTTCCAATAACTAGTTTCTATGAGTATTTAATTGATTTTTTTGTTCAGGTCGGCAGCGTCTGTCGTCGCTATCAGAGGACAACAACGCGGCGCCACTATTGGCCCGGGCGCGGTTTGGCCCCGCCCTCTGCCCCTCCCCCTCAGGCCGAGCGCCCGCCCCCGTGGCCGCGTTGTACCTCATGGCCGCTAATGGATCACTGTTACATCTCCTACTGCATCCTCGACCGCTCTCCTGTAAGATATTTTACCATAAATACTTAGAATAAAACAATGACAGTGCTGAAAATACTTTAAAAGAGTGTTAAAACAGAGTTTGTTATGCATAGAATTTCAATTACATTCGTTGATATTAAGTTTGGGAATCTACCAAAGAAATAAGACACTTACTTAGTCTCCATCAGGCGTTTACCAAAAAGTATTGATCTCTTCGCAAACTTTTAAGTGAAATTCTTATACAATGTACTGAAGTTATGATTAAATGTGTGAATAGATAATGTAAAACTCTTTAAGATAAAGAAACAAAACAATATGTAAGGAATGATACGAAACAAAAATGAGTTATCATAACGTCAGATTAAGCAAGAGTAGCTCGCCGCCCTACTGGAACTAGACCCGAGCGTTGCGTTCTGCGCGCGTCTCAAAGAGCCAATAGACCATCAAAGACGGGGCTCTATAAGGCTGATATTCAGCTGGGGTTGCGGGGTAAGCGCAATAAGGTACCGCGCCCTCGGCCTAAGAAGAAGGAACGGGAGTTTTTGGAGAAGAAAAGTCATTTGATGGTTTTCCCTTCACAAAAAAAGAAAAAAAAACCGAAATATTTGGGCAGGAAAACACAGAAGAAATCCATGAAGTATATTTTTATAATTCCAGCTATACCGAAGGAGAAGATCTGCGACGAGTCAGCGATCGAGCTGGAGGTGGAGGCAGTGTCGCAGTGGCCCCTGCAGCGGCCGGCCGCCGCCGCCGACCTGCTGGCGCCGCTGCCGCCCTCCAACCCGCTGCTGCAGCCGCAGACCTGCAGGGTACGCACATACGACTATTTCTATTTCAATAATGAAGAGCTCCATCCCTCTTCCTCACCCGAAAGATTCACTCTTTAACACGTCATGGTAGGCCTACAGGTTGCGAGGAAAAGAAAAGATCCTCCGATCAAGCGATTATGCCAGGTGAGCGACTGCTCTATCAAAAACTGAATCATACATCTATTGAACGGTGGCCTTCCCCATTTTTTTTACAAAACGATATCACATTTTCATGGATTTAGCCATAATATTTTTTTATATTGTTTTTGGGGTGTGTTTACAAACATACATATTCACGTACACAAGACTGAATGACTCGAAACAACAATTTGTGGATCACACAAAATGTTGTTCGGTGCTTGAATCGAACCCGCAAAACGTTATACAGAAGCCAGTTGCCCGCCCTCTTCGTCAACCGTGCAGTGAAAAGTATCTGATATGATTGTGTTGAATTTAATGTTTGTATTTGTAACAGAGGTGCGCGGATATGTGCATGAGTGAAGAAGAGCGTTGGTTGTCGCAAGTGGAGATAGTGACCCACGCGGGCCCGCACCGACGACTCTGGATGGGCCCGCAGTTTGTTTTCAAAACCTATAATTGCACGGGGTAAGTTTATGTACTGTCTGTCGTGTACTACAATAGATATTTTTCCTTTTGTGTTTTTATAACTATCGTGTAATACCAAGTACCAAGTAAAACAAATATTACAAAAAAAAAAAAAATTAAACTAGACGTAGGCCGCGTAAATTTTTGATTATCGCTATCGTGCTGGAATACTGGTTGTGTTCATTCTTTCGAAATAAAAATAGCAAAAAATAAATCTTAAGCAAGATCATACTTCAGTTCTGTTTTTCAAGTTCTAGGTGTGGACTTGAAAATCAATTATAAAATGTCAATTGAAACTCGTGGCGAAATACTTTTGTGGTTATGGAACTAATTTAAAATTAGCCATTTATAGTTTTACTGTTTCCTATAGAATTAATACATTTAATTTGTAAAGGTTTTAAGTTAGTCTATATGTATGTTTATATTTTGCGATACAGATCAAACTCGTCCCTGTCTGAAGCGGAGACAGTAGAAGTGGATACTAGCGCTGCTCGCGGCGTTGCTCGTTCCAACCCGGTCAACATGCCGGGAGTCAGGCCCGTCGTGCCTGTCCTCATAGATTCTGGATCTGCAAGTAAGTATACACAAAACATGTTATATGTGTAAGGGCTGATTTTTCAATGTTTAGATTAAAGTTACCAAGGGAATAATTATGATGCTGTCGCGTCAGAATTTTTGTATAAAACAGTGACAGCAATAATTTTATTCCTCAGGTAACATTTATCTGACTATTGAAAAATCAGACCTTTAGGAAATATTATGCTTCTCATGCACGAGGGTGCAACTTCGAAACCTGGTAAGAACCAATGTGACTTTTTCCGAGCCTTATGTACTTTCTGTCTTTCATCATACGCTTATAAGTGCTGAGCAAAGGCCTCTTCTCACACGGAGAAGGTTTGAGCATTAATCAAAACGCTTGCTCAAGGCAAGGATTTCAAACTTATAAGTACTTACAAATTATAAGTCCACCGTCACGGTGTTTTCCTTCACCGTACGTCAGTGATGTCTAAATAATCATAAAAAGTAGATACATACAGGGTGTAAGGGACAGCCTTCCGCAAACTGATAGGGTGGATTCAGTATATCGTCTTAAGTTGACCGGTACATGAAATTATTTCAGGAACGTTATGGGAATCCAATTAAACCGATTTGTTTCATTACCTTACACGCAATGTATCGCTACCACCGCAAACGCACGCAGCGAACGGCAGCGCTTTTAGTATTATTACTTTACACTATGGGCAGCGCCGCGACCTTACCTTTCGGACAAACGGTCGCGCTCGCGCCACGTTTTAATAACAATAAATTATTATTTACAAGATAGCCGCATTACTTACAAAAGACAATTTAATAATCGCGCTCGCGCCACGTTTTAATAACAATAAATTATTATTTAAAAGATAGCCGCATTACTAACAAAAGAAAATCTAACAATCATAACATGGTAACTGATAAATGATAAAAAAAGAAAAATGCGTAGGTACCTTAGAATCGCTCCGGTTTCCGGCTCTGGAAAGCATTTGTGATGCGGTCTCGCATTTCGTACTCACTTGCACACGCACTCACAAACACTTTTTCTTTTACGTAACCCCACAAAAAGGGGTCCAAATGGGTTAGGTCTGGGGATCGTGCTGGCCACGGTTGCGGTCCAAACCTACCTAAACTACGTTTAAATAGGAAAGCACTGGTAAGTGGTAGCGTCTCGTTACGTTAGCGAACCAATTACAAAATCCACGTAGGTATTGGTCTTCCGGCGCCTTTTTGTCTGGGAACAATGGGCTGGTTTTCTAGCAACCGTTGATAGTCACCAGTAATTATCCTGGAGTCTGATGGATGCCGACGGTCAGGATACCTACACTACTACAACACATTATCATCTCCCCATAATCACGCGCGCTAAACGTACCTAGGTAGTAATTTCGCACAATTTCTACAACAAAACTTCACTACACTTCACACACTACATAACTAATAAAACTTAATAACACTACTTATAACAAAACTTTTAAGCCGAATGCGCGAGCGATCCGTATCGACACACGCTCGCGGTACACAAACAGTAACATCGCAGCAAGGCACAATGGCGACTGCATGTGATGAGACACACACAAACATAAATCTGTTGTTGCCAATTACACGAAAATTAGGTACAAAATTTCGGGGTAAAAAATAAAAAATTATGCATGGTCGTAATTTATCATTCTGTTATTTTTTGTAGAGAAATGAATTGATTAAATCAATTTAATTCTAATTTCATTGTTTAGTTAATTTAGAATAATAAAAGTGCAGTGTGATAGAAAGCTGTGCTTCCATTCCAGGGAGATTGTGTTTAATTTCTGGCTCGACTATCAATTCATGGCTATTATGAAGCCATGTAAATCTGTAAGCAGTTTAAAAACTAGCCAGTAATCGCTTAAAAAGAACAATCAATTAATAAATTAGGTAGTATTTGTAAATGCTTTAAAATTAAAACTAGACTAATCTTTATTTTTTTTTATTCAATTTATGTGCGCGACAAGATTTTCATTGATTGATTAATGAAAATCTCATCAATGTGATTATGAATGCAAAGGAATCTCAAGTTTTAGATAAATTTCGATAGTTCTAACATTTTCGTTTACAAAGGTAGAAAGGTAGAAAGGTAGAAGAGGTAACAAAAGTTAAAAGTTGTCAACACTGGTTCAATGGACAGAAAGGGACGCAGCTATTCTATACGTTGGACGGGATCGTAGGTATACCTACGGCGGCGCGGCGATCGGCGCGGTGGGGCGCCGAGCCGCTGCGCTGTGACCGCGGTGCGGTGAGTTCAAACGACTCGCGCTAGGTAGAAATTGAACAGCTGATTTCATGCGTAGTTCTTTAGAGAATTCACACAACCATTGCGTATTTTTTTGTTTTAGCTGTGTTATTTACATTAATGTTATTCTTCATACATAGAATGTAATTATACATTGAAATAGAAGTGTAGGAACTGAAAAAACGAAAAAAAATTGAAAATTTTCCTGAAAGAATTTTCACTGGAATATGATTCAGAATAAGGAGCTGAATGCACCCTGTTAATTTGTGGAGGGCTGTCCCTTACACCCTGTATAACTCGGCAAAAGTTACATTGGTACTTGCCAGGTTTCGAAGCCGTACACTCCATGCATAAGAAGCGAACGCCCATAACTACCGACAATAAAGCTTAAATTTCAATAATATTATACCATCATAATGTTGTCACTAGGTTCTCTAGAACATTCTCCGTCGGACAGCTTTCGTCGCAAGTCTTTGTTGGCTGAAACTGGTCGCGCGGCCTCAGTATGCGACGTACAACTGAGAGAGGACTTAGCTGAAGCTATGAAGGAAGACCATGGTATGTATTCTTGAGCATATTTAATAACTTTATTCCGAAAACGTATGACAAAAGGTAAAAAAAACAAACATAGCTAGGTACTTCTCGAATAGGTTGATTAAAAATTGTTTGAACGGCTTTTATTTTGTTCTTTGTCTAAAAATTATCGACAAATTGTTCTAGATAATATTCGAACTGAGCTAGTTGGATGGCTAGTTTCAATAAAAATAGTTACTAGAGATTGAATTTTATCGTAAAAAAACTATATTTTGTATCTAGTAAGATTTGTGGATAGATAGAATTGTCGTTTTAACCTTATTTTGACATAAAATTAAAGTGAACGATATTTTATTTTATCCGTAAACGCCGTATTAAAATTTTATATTTTTTTACAAAATATAAAACTTATATTGAAAGTAATTTTTGATAGCTTAGTTACACAATAGACAACAGTTAATTATTTTAAATAATTATTACGGTTCGGTTACTGGTGTCCCTAGAAGTATAAATCAAATTAAGCAGTGGTATGGGAAATGTTATTCAAATTATTTCAAGTTATATGAAATCTTCTCTGTGCTTCTGTTTAGTTTGATTCATAGTTTCAGAGACATCTTGCAAATTAGTTTTACATTACGTAAAAAAACTAGTGATTCATAAATTCAGTATCAATATCGGAATAGTTGGGAATTGATATAAAATTTTGTTGAAAATGCGTCGATTTTGTTTCGAAAGTGCACATGAAAAGTGTGTTGTGAGTGTGGAGAGTTTTTGGAATTCGTTTACCATCGAGTGAATATCCAAGAGCGAAGTAACAAGCGGAGGAGTCGTCGGATAGTCCCGCGGAGTGTAAGCCCGCCGCCGGCCCTATACCGAAGCCAAAGGCACCCTGTCGTTAACATCTCAGTAGGGTCTGCGCCTGGCACGGCTCACGCCGCCGACTTCCTCCGCACTCAATAACGGTTGCCTTCGGTTTCGTATAGGGGCGGCGAGCGACAGCGGCGCCCCCGCGCCCCCCGCGCCCCCGGGCGCGGCCCCGCGCTGCGTGGCGCGCGCCGTGGACCCGCTGGGCACGGTGGTGCAGCCGGCGCCCGCGTCGCCGCCGACGGCGTGGCCCGAGCCCTTCGCCGCCTCCAACTGCGACGAGGCCACGTTCCGGCCCGTGCTGCGCGCCCCCGCGCCCCCCGAGGCGCGGCCCGAGGACGCCGCGCGCCCGCTGCCACTGACCACCACTATCCCGGTGCAGACCGTGCACGAGTCGGCCCCCGCGGCGCCCGGCCCGCCGCCGCGCGCGCTGCCCACCGCCGTCGTCATCCCCGCCGAGCTGCACGACGACGGCTCCATCATTAGTTTTAGCTTAGATAAGTATAGTATAGACGAGGAGGCGACGCGACAGATGACGGATGCTAGACCGAGTGCGAGGAGCTTGGCGCCTGCCGAGCGAGCCTGCCAGGCGCCTCCCGATACACTGCCAAAACTAAGGCAGTCGGGTGATATTCAACCGGCCGCCCCACCTACAGTTAGGCGATCTCCCACCCCAAAGTCGGATAGCGATGATAACTCTAGGGATAAGAAATCTAGTAGAATTAGGGAAAGCCCTCGACTGCGTGATGGAAGCTCGAGGGCTTCTAGGTCTAGTGAGGTACGAGAGCGTAGAGAGTCTACTCCTAAAGTAGAAAGAGTTGCTAAGATGGAGCCTGTTCAGAAAGAATTTGTTCCAAAGGAGCATGTTCCAAAAGAATCCGTACCTAAGGTAACTGGTTCAAGGGAATCTGTACCAAAAGATATTGTTGTGAAAGAATCTGTGTCAAAGAAGATAGCTTCCAGAGAGTCTGTTCCAAAAGAACTTCCAAAAGATGTTGTTACGAAAGAATTAGTGACAAAAGACCCTGTCGAGAAAGAACATCCCTCAAGGGAGTCAGATAATATTGCTTCCGTTGAAACTCGCGAGGAGTCATCCTCAGCAAGCGTTACTTTAAAATTATCGTCTAAGAAGAAATCCGAGTCACGGTCAAGTTCTGTAAAAGAAAAAAATGTGGAAGTCATTAAAACTGAAGAACAAGCCTGGGATATGCTCTTGAATGAGCCGGAGAAACCAATTGTGCCTATTAATCCAGCTGTCGAAGAAAAAGTGCCAGAGGAACCTAAACCAAAATCTAAGAAAAATCGAAAGCCTAAGAAGTCTCAGGATGATACTCAAGTGAAGGACGAGGATACATTTATAGAGATACACACAATTGAAGACAAACCACAGCCTTCCAGCGGTGATCTAGTTTCGATTTCAACACCATATGAAGACATCGAACCTATGTCTTTCTTAGCGAAAGCTAAAAAGTCGCGATCAACCAAAAGTGTTACCCCAGAGAGAAGGCATGACTTTGATCCTAGAGATATTTGGGCAATCGACGATTCAGAAACAAGCAGCTTGCCTAAAATTAAAAATGTCGATGATGATGTTAAGGACGAATGGTCTGAACCAATTCCAAAAATCAAATCTAGAGATTCAAGGACAGAAATACCTTCAATAGAGACGCTGAAAGTTGAGGGAACTGAACAAAGTGTCTCCCCTTTGAAGGAACCTGCACAAACAAAGAAAACTAAATCTCCATCCCCTTATGCCGATCGTAAAGCAACCGAAAAACGCTATGAAACAGAGGTTACAGATGTTTATGTTATAGATACCATGAAGGAAGATTTCCCCGAAATTCAAATTACTAAAGCCAGTAAGGCACGAAAGAAATCGCCTCAACCTGAAAAGGTCACTCAGGAGGATAGACCTATGAAATCTTGGAGTTCTATTGCTGCGTCTAAAAATGATAAGAGTTCTGAAGAAAGAGTAGAAACCGAAAAGAAAGAGCAAGAAGAAAAGACTTCCAAGGCTAAAGATTTGAATGTAGAGGGTGTGTCTTCCGATCAGGTGTCTTTGCAAGATAAACTTATTGAACTTTGCAAAAGGCCTGATATCATGGTCGCTCAGTGCGATGCTCCAGCAGAACTAAATTTTGTTGAAGAACATCATTCAGTTCTGGACCTGCCGCCGTTGGAACCTTTAGATTTCGGTTTAGACGATTTTAAACTAGAGGTAATGCGAGACAGTTTACTGGAAATGAACGAAGGAGGAATCTCGAGTCCTATATGCAAGATAAACATTGACAACATATTATCAACCATAAAAGAAACTACAAACAAGGCAATAGAATCTAGTGCATTCAACCTGATCGATTTGGAAAAGGTTCCGTCAAAGAAAGAGAAAGGCTTTAGTGTAGTTGAAAATGATAAAATAACATCGCAAGAAGTGAAGATTGATGAAGATAAATCTGACGATAAAGATATAGGGGTAATGGAGAAATCTTCGGATGATGATGTATCGTCTCCCTTGGCGTCATTGGACAGTGACAAAGAGGACAAGAAATTAACTGGTGCTTCTAATGTAACCATGCCTTCGACAAAGCAATCGTCTAAGTCTAAAAAGTCGCGTAAGAAGAAAAAGTAATAAAATGTGTTCAGTGATATTAATGTTCAATGTTTCGATTTTTTGCAATATTTATCGTAGTTAAAATTGAAGACATATTCAGCTCGCATACATTTTTAAATTTTAATAACTTTACTAAAGGCTGATCTGGATGTAATGGTTTGTTTTAAGTAGAATAATAGATTTTTAAGTAGTACAATATTTTGCAGAAGTACAGTATAAGTTAAATGAAATTTAGTTCTCCATGGATGCAACATACCCAAGCTAAGTCGCAACTATCATCGTTCAGACTTGCTTCAATAGCTATCTAATTGAAAGTTTAAAGCTCAAATATAAAAAAAAATATTTTATTTTTGAGGTTCTTATTTTTATTTTATGTGTAGTCACATTAACTTAATTTTAATAAAATTATAGATTTAGTGATGAAAATGTGAAGAAAAATATTATTAATGTTTTTGTTTGTTTTAGTAATATAATTTGAGGCACTGCTGCCTATAAAAATAACAATCAGCATAATATATTTTTGGTTAATTCGATATAGCTGAATATGTCTTGTTTACGCGGTTAGATTGAAACATTTGCTGCTGTTGTAGTAATCTTAGTTAAGTAATGCAATTTATGTGATTAAGCACAGGTAAAAGACAAAAAAATCTTAAAATGTTTGTAAAAAAAGTGATTTTAAAATATTTGCTACTAAAGCCTAACATTACTATTTAGGCGATGACCTTTTATCGTTGTTCAGTAGCGGTATTTATGTCATATCAAAAAAAAATTAACATAAAAATGTAAAAATCTAGCAAAATACACAAAAAATAAAACGTATTAGATTTTTTATGAAGACCAAAGAAGCCTAGAAATTGGAAAGTATTAATAAAAATATGCATGTACTCATAGTTTATAGGTTTCGGGAAACATTTTGATATTATAGAATCATGACTCGGTGTAATGGTGTTCATAAAAAATCTCTTAATTTTTTTTGTATAATGGTACTCTTTTTAGTACTTATCTCTTGTTTATTTAGTTATTAGGGTGTAGATGAATAAAATTACATAAATTGTGGAAACAAAAAATCATAAAAAAACTAAACACTGTTTTTCTACGCGCCACGCAAGATCTTATGTAAAGGCCAGTATACACAGAACCTTGCTTACCTATTTAATAACGCTTTACGACATTATATGGATACAGTATGTTATATATTTTGCAATCAGTTACTTTAGAGATCAAATTTTCAGAACAGAGCGTTAATTTCTGACCTTGATATAATTGAGGCTCATTTTAATGATTAACATTTTATTGTAATGCGATCGTACCTCAGTATTAATTTATTGATGCTTTGGCTCTGACGGTTGGTTCTGAATTGGATATTACTGCAACTATCAGGGCCGGCGACACTGGGAATGTAGCGGAAATACAACCGTTCATTTTAAGTGTCGATTTGGTTCAACTATGTCAATTAAGCACATTTTCCAGAAGACCTATTCAGGGTTAGGTTTGACGTGCTACGAATTAGATCAATATCTATTAATGCACGGCAAATAATGTGCCTAATTGGTTCTAGAGTTTCACGATACTTTCTTAAGTCTAATTCAGAAATAGCCCGACGCTTATGTCTTAGTCACCCCGGTATAAAATACCTTCTCATATACGGCTGTCCTCGTGTACAAATATATCGTAACTATCGACAAGTATTATTTATTAACCAATGTTTTTTTCTAATTTTATTTAGCTTTAATATGTTGAATCATGACAAATATTTATTTTTTTATATAATTTACGCGTGATCATTAATTTTTTCAGTGAAATTATTTCGATTACAAATAAGTCAATACGTATATAGTTGGTGCATAATGTTATTTATAATTTGACGATGAATATTATGTTCTAAGGGTTAAGAATTTGTTTCCATAAAATTAAATTTGGATTAAGATTTTTGGTCATGTTTGCCCTCTATACGAAAGACTTATTCATTTTGGTAAATGAATGAAATTAAATTATGAAATTATTGTTGTAATGGTTTATAAGATCTCCAAAATAATAAAGTAGGTTTTCAGAAAAGATCTAAATTATAATGTTTTAAGACTATTTATTTTCTCTTAATATGATTAATGATGTTCTTACGTTGAAACTTGCATGTTTCACGAGAGCGTAATTCTTATAATAATAATAATTTTGTTTTAACACAAGTCTAACCACTTGGTGCGAATTTAAAATAGTAGTATAATTTTTCATGTAGTTAGTACTTATTTTGGTATATTTACTTATAATGTGGATACAATAATATAAAAAAACACTAATTTTGGGTTGCTACGTAGTCGGCTATTATTTTTATTCCTAGATAAATTACTAACGGCAGCTTAAAACTCAACATCGTTTCGAACGTAATACTTTTGTCGATGAATTCATGTATTTGTTGAGAATGAAAAACATCCTTATTTTCGGACAGAATATTTTTTTATTTTGGGATTTTAGCTTCGAAATCAAAATGTTCTCATCGTCTCTTAATTTGCCTACTTTTTACACGCGGATTTTTTATTTATATAACTTTTATTCGAGCTTTTTGATTGTATGACCAAATCATGTATTACTACTTATTAATGATATGACTGTAAATTATGCTTGACGGTTTACTTACTTAACTGTTTGACGGAGTACCTCGATTAGTTTCAAGCCACACAAGGGCTCTTAATCATGCGCCGAACGAAACAGTTACGCAAGTGAACTATAAAACTAATAATTTTATGTCTCTGTTGAGTGTAAATATAATAGTTCAATCTACTAACTCTATATCTAGATAGATTGTTAAATTTTACCTTTGATAAATATTCAATCAGTTACGTTGTAATAATTCATGCATAATAAACTTGTACATTTAAATCTTATGCAAATGAGCTATAGATGTGTGGAACTGCTAGCAAAATTGCATAATAAATGTACCTTGCAATCGTATACTTAAGGCTCGTTATTGCTTATCACATAGAATGAAAATACTTTCAAGTTTTTTTAATCATTATTAGGCCTCTTTTTGGCCAAGATTGATGTGAAATGTAAGCTATCAAGCTACACACACAAGACTGCATCAAATGCCTGAGCTTTCATCCTTATCATATCCCCCAGAATGGTCACTAAAAAAGTGAGGGAAATGATGCGAGTAAGAACCTCTATAACGGAATGAGGGCTTCGGCAAGTGAGTTTTCACTAGCTGTAGCGAATGGTTTTTATTTAATAAACTATTTGCTATTATTCATTGCTTATACAACATTTCGAAACAACAGTCAACTACACAAATTTTAATATGACTCAGTAATATGGTAGAAAACGCGGTGGTCCTCATTGATGAGATGCAGTTCTTGGTTATCCACATTTTACATAAATCTTCGCCTTAATAGGTATGCGTAATAAGCAAGGTATATTTGAATATATTATTAATATCAGAATGTTTTAATTTATGCAATGAAATCAAGCTTAAATGTTCGCGTGTGATATGTATACTTTGGCTGTACTATTCTGTTCTGTTGATAAAGTTATGGAGTGTTTTAAAAAAAATCAGAATAGTATCGAACATAATAAAGATGAGAATTCAAAAACAACATTACTGAAGTTTTATTTTGAATATCTTTTACCAGAATGTTTTTAATTCTTGCCGCATGGTAGACTTTGTTCTTAATTGTAACTAGCTCAATAAAACTCAATCGTATCTGTAATATGTCCAGAAAAATGATTGGATTAAAGCGTATTCGACCTTTTACAAAACAATGTTTTTTTCTTTAGTCTATGTTTAAATCAATGAGCTAGTTTTTGTATTTCAAACGGTAGGTAGGTGATAATAAGATTCAAAATACAAAACTTGACTCTATGTTTTAAACCTGGACTAGATAAATCCTGTTTTCTAATAAGGGGGATTGGAATTAAGATGATTGCATTTTGGTAAAATTTTCACTAAGCCTCAATTATACTGACATCCAAACCATGTCGTTTAGATTGGTTGAACTACCATTAAGTATAAAAAAAACTACAGAGCCGCTTATTTTCAATCTTAAGATACGATACGTTACAGAAAATATATGGAACTCTATTTTCAAATACCAATTTCACGAATTTCCAGTAACAACAACAGGCGGTCGGTATGAGACGGAGCAAGAAGAGCTTAGTTCTAGCAGTTTTAGCTCTGCATCGCGTGCGTCCCTTGACCCGCCGTCCTCGCCAACCCCAAGCTGTGGCGGAGACAACCAGCTTCATTTCCCAGGCGACTCCAGTAGCTCCGTATAAAGGAAGACAGGTTTTGTGAAAATTATTACTTAGTGATGGAACTGTTTGGTTAAACAAGTCAAAAACTTACTCACAGATGATTTTTGGTGTTATATGTGAGGCTTTAAAGTCGAAAATTGTTCGATTTCAGTAAGGTAAGCATAGCAGCTTGAACTTAGCTTTGCGCGCAAGTTGAAATTCATAAGACTACATAGATTGATGTAAGCCGAAGTCTACACTGAAGATTTGTCAATACTTATAAACTACTTTTACTGTGTTTTTCCTGTTGGAAAGATATAAAAGTGATAACATATTTTCTTCTATGAATTTAGTATTTCACTTTAGCATAATGCAATTCTAAAAAACAATAAAAATAATGCTATGGAAGGACGGTTCGCTGCCAAACAAAGACGGTTTTTAATTAAAGTAAAAATTCTTTAAGTCTTTATAGAACTTACTTTTTGTTTATTCAAGCAAGTAACAGTGCCATCACTAAATAGTACTACCACATAATGTAAGTAAGTATATTTTATTGCAAATACGATATTTATACGGGAACCGTAATGGGAAGAACTGATTTGTTAGTAACGCTTTTCATCAACAAGCATTAGCTTTCATATTATTGGTCTATAGAATCTTGGATACATTTGGATAGGATAAGAATCCAATAAACCAGGGGAAGAGGCTGGGAATTGTGGAGTTTGAATTTGAACCTTAAGTCGTCGAGACAGGTGTTATTATTCCAAAAATAATAAGAATAAGTAAAAACGCAATCTCTAAGGTAATAACGGTTTATGACCTGCCTCATTAACTTACATTTTGGTAGATTTGACTAGTGAAGATAATATTTTGTCAAGAGCTCCATACAATATGTGGCAAAATTATATCTTTAGTAACCAAATCTACAGATAAGTGTGCGAGTTTGTTTTACGCTTACGTCGTCCTGCGCTCTGATTGGCTTCCTCCAAGCTAACGAACCAATCAGAAGGCTTAACGCTCTCACCTACGTAACGGTCAAGCGTACTTGCACTTTGGTCTTTAAGAACGAATAGAAAAGTTTGACTTGAAATCGTGTGTTCATTGTTATTATAGAGAGGGCTCTAACTATGTATTCTAATATTAACTTTAATTCTTCGTGTTACAGTTGATATTAGTGTACAGAATTAGTTGTTGACAATATGTAGATTTGTTTGTGAGATTCTGAATAGAGAAATGATTAGGATTCGGCTAGAAATTGGATTCGAGATCGAAATATAATCACAAGCTTAGATTTACATAGCAATTTATAATGATCTTCATATTTATAACTAAGTATATGTTATTTATATTATTAATGTTTGTAATTTAGAGTTAAGTTTTCACTTAATGTTAGTTCTAAGTGTAGTTGTCTGAATGTATGTATTTAGTTATAAATATCTTTTTATATTGCTTTTTGTGCTATTTGAAAATTAAACGCAGAATATCTACGTACTCTGTTTATGGAAGTAGAATATTCGCATATATAAATATTATATTTCTGTAACAGTTTTTATAAATGTGCAGTTGAAGTATGAACTCACAATTTAAGTTTTAAGTATACTTAAAGTGTTTCGTTAACTTTTTTTCTGCGCTAAGTAGTTACTATGTATTTTAGCTGAAAGTGATTATAAAAGTCTTTGATACAGTAACAAATTTACAATCTATATACTGTAAAATTCTTTATTATATCAAGCAACTGAAAGAAAATCTACAAATTCTTCAACTGCACAATTAAATGTTAACTAAAAAAAAAAAAACTAAAAATATTTGATTTTAGAACATTCAAATATTTGACGTGTGATTCAAACATTAAATGCATTTGTTTACCGCGACTGTGATAAGTAGAAATTATAGAGCTTGCGTAGGATAAACGTTGGAAATATTTTTGTTATAAAAAAAAAACAATATTCCGTACACTCGCATCCATGTTATTATTTGTTATTTTATTTATATTTACATTCCATTGCGTCTGAAGTCTGTCATCTTATCTGCTAATCAATTTCAAAACAAAGATGATAAAAGCTTTTAAATTTTCCTGTCGCCAGATGGCGCTAGTGAGAGATAAAGTTTAAAAAACGAAAGATAATAAAAGGAATTTAATTCAACAAGATTTTAAAGGTTGCTGTCGCTAGATGGAGCTAGTGAGACGTAAAGTCCTACAGACTTAGAAATAAAACATTACAATCATAGTTATCATTGATGTGGTCCTAATGTCGTCTTGCCTATATGTATTAAAATAATTCATTTAATGACTTAAAATAATTTGCTGGCCATTTAAGATGATATACTAAGACTTCAGCTTTATAAAAATAGTTTGACTTTAATGAATTTTGAATCTTAATTCTTTGGCTTAAGACATCAATTCAAACAAGATTGTACCATACTAGTAGAAGAAAAAAGAGCGTTCATGTATTTTTTGCATAATTATGAAAAGTTAACTCCAAAATTCTTCATAATGTTGTCATTGTTTATGTAACAATAAAAATCTTATGCTAAAGAATAAATTCATTTTCAAAGAAGCACATGACACGTACACCTACAATTCACATAATATTTTATCATACTCGAGTATGGTCACACCGCTTCCGTCAAACGTCTTCCTTATTTTTATTCCTGGCAACAAAAACTTTCCAATTGGCTTTATATTGATGTTTGTGTAAATGTATTTATTTAATTTATAACGTTTTCATTCTGTATTCGTAGTTTTTTTAATATTATGTGTGTGGAAGTCAATGGAAACTACCGTATTTAGTGTTGGGGTAATTGAAAATCAACCTAATGATGATTGCAATGCGGTTGAAATTGGTATAATATAGTTTTGGAAATTTATATATCTAACTTTAAGGACGCAGTTGGCTTTTGCTGTATCAAAAATGTGTGAAATTCAAAATTAAATATATTAAACATTTATCAATTAAAATTTTGAAATAAACCAACGAATGTAGAAGAGAAACGGATTTTGTATGTTGTTAATTATTTAATTTACTTTGGCTGTACTCAGAAACACTTAATGATTACTTAAACTATTCTTTAGTAACAAATTTGCTCCGAAAACAACTGCTAAAGACTCGTTAAAGTAATCATGAAATAACTCTGAGTACGGTGTTCTGATGAGTAAAAAAACAATGGAAAATTAAATTTTGCATAGTTGTTATCAGAAATGCGCGCGAGTGTATAATTATTTATTTTTAATTAGGTATAATAGTAATCATTTTGAAATGAAAATTTTTAATATCTTAGTACTTATGTACCTATTTATATTGATGGTTAATATAGTACTGTAGCTTTTCATTTTAACACTGCTAATATTTGTTAAGGCATTATATTGATAACAGTACACTTAATACTTTTCTGGTATTTTTGATATCAATAAGGTCGATGCATCTGCTCGTTTGCATTATCTTCTAAACATTATAAAAGAGAAAGGCACAAGGTAATAATAAGTCCAAATTATAATATTAAGTTTATTTATTCAGATAACTGAGATCCATAAGATAAAAACAAATTGAATAAGCAATAGTAAGCAAGTCAAGTGTGGGAGAGCCATGCTTCGGCACGAATGGGTCGGCTCGACCGGAGTGATACCACGCCCTCACAGAAAACCGGCGTGAAATAACCACTGCGTTGTGTTTCGCCGTGTGAGTGAGGTTACCGGAGGCCCAATCCTTCCCCTTCCCCAATCCCTCCTCAATCCCTAAATCTCCAAATCCCTAATCCCTAAAAGGTCGGCAACGCACTCGTTACTCCTCCGTTGCGAGTGTCCATGGGCGGCGCTGATTGCTTACCATCAGGTAATCCGTCTGCTCGTTTGCCGAGATATTACATTAAAAAAAAGCAAGAACTTAGTCCGCTGTACTAATTTCCAAATTATGGAACAATCAAGCTTATCAGCTATAGCACTCAGGACTACTGTGGCGACTTCCACGCAACTGGCTGATGAAATATGCCGTTCTTTTGCGCCATAACGCAGCGAAGCTCTCAGTATGAGCATCAGCAAACATTGCTGGTGCGCTACAGAAACGTGGAAGCCGCAACAGCGCTCTGAACGCATTGTTTTACTGGATCCGCAGAGCATTGGCCACTCTCTGAGTGTAGTTGACCCACAGACTTCCCGTGTACAGCGAGGTGCACGGTAAGTCAAATAGATCCATACATTTATTAGCAGTGTTTATAAAATATATTTTGGTAAGATAGTGTTACGATGAGTAGTTTGAAAAAAAAAAGTTTTTATATACGAAATTACATAATTTAGCGAATGTGTGTGCGAATATGAAACTCCCAAAAAAAATTGCTATAAAAATATCATTTTACATTTTGTAAATTCTATTTGGATATTAATTAATATAAAAACAATTTTGGATGTCTTCTCTACTATTGGCACTATTTATTTTAAATTGTGAATTGAAAATTTTTATATTATGACTTTTTATTTATTAGAAACAATTACGTTATTTTCGATTTAATTGAGTTTTTCTTAGTCATAAATTTATACATATTTCAAATTGGTTTTAGACACTTTAGTGTAGAATGCTTACCACGCATAGGATCAACTAGTATCATTTTATACAAATCATATTTTTAAGCAAATTTGTACCGTTATGTTTACAAAATAAAACATTTTTTCCAGTGTCGTCACGATTTTGATAGAAAATCATGATTTTTAGAAAATAAATCATATTACACGCTAGATTACTTTGAATATAAGTTCAACAAGGCACTTACTGCTTATATATTTTAAGTTAAAAGTTGTTTAAACTAACTTGACGAGACTATCTCAAGTTACCATAACAGTGTGATAGAGTTGTGTTAGCACTTAGAAACTTGTAGAACAGCGACTCCATAGAACACATTGCAAAATAACTATAGGTATTTGTATATATTTATTTTTCTATATTATTTTTTTGCATGTAAAGGTACAGTTAGATGCTTTTTGTAAAACTATTAAAGTGCATTTTTATTTTTACTAAGTTTGTATTTAATTTAGATCTGCGTCAAAGGGTTTGAGCAAGTGAATGATTTTATTGTACCCCACAGTTTACAAAAAAGAAAAAAAATACGTTTTGGAGGCTCACAAGATATTTTGTCTACTTATTTTGTATTGGTAATTATTTCATAGGGGTACTAGAAATCATGTTTTCGCTGAGATCCTTGTATATCTAACTGTATCTTCAAATCATATGATAGTCTTCAAAAATATCGGGTTTTTGTTAACGAAGTTAATGCTTTCAGGCCATAATGTAGTAGTCAATACTGTAAAAATATTTGTAAGAATTTCGTAAAGTATTTCTATGTATAGTATGATATACAATGTGTCAAAATTATTTTTTATTATCAATAGTGATGCGTAGAGTAACAATAGGATTATATTTTATAGTCTGGCAAGTTTGAAAGGGTAATATTACCTACTTACTTAAAGAGAATGGTTGTTATTAATGTAAACTAAACGTGCAAAACAAATTTAAAAATAGAATGGTGTGTTTTTCTGTAGACACCATGTCAAAATTTCATTGTGGTTCTCTTTTTCTATATTCTTTATTATTATGAGGTCAGGAATTTTTAGGGGAACATATTTTGTATCTTGTTTGGTCTTTAGTACACGAGATGTGGCGATATTTAAGTTAATTCATCAAAACCCAATCGAACTCCGTGTTGCGCACCGATGGTCTTGCTATTTTGTGTCAGTAATTACCACGATGGAAAGGTTAATTGGATAATGTTTGCCAATGTAACACTAATAATATTGTCATATCTCGAGCGTTATTATAAAAATAAAGACAGAAATATATTTTTGAGTATATTTTCGGTAGTATATATTTTTGACTTTGCAGTGTATACCTGGTGTTGTGTCCTGTCTGTATCAAAGATCATATTAAAAACTTTTTAAGTACCATAATATTTGGTGTTGCCAAAATTCAAAATTATGTGCGAATCAATGAAAGTAACGAAATTAACATTTTGGGAGAGATTTATTGTGATGGTTGGATGTGATAAGGCTATAAGTTAGCTAACAGTAGACATAATTACAAATGTAAGCTAAATTCCTATATTTTATTAAGACAATTAGTATGTAAAAGTTTACGTTTGTAAGACATGGATACCAATAAATCGATTCTCAATTAATGTTGTTTTTTTATTGTGAGTGTTTAATCAACCTAGTGTGCGGTGTACTACCTAACTACCTACCTAGCTATAGTTATGGCTAAGTACCTTTATACAGACCACTAAAACCGTAATTAAGTTAGTTCAAATAAAAAGTCAAACAGTCCACTCGTCATAAATAAATTAATTCGACGTTTCAATACAATAAAGTATAGAAATTTAATTATACTTTAATTCATCGATCGATCGATACACTGAATTTCAGATATTTTTTAGCTAATTTTTAAGGAAAAAGTAAACAATTTGACGCAAACAAACTGACGTCATAACTCAGTTTTTTTCATACAAATTTCATAGAAAAGTATCGTTTTTGACATTTGGATAAAAGTATTGAATTTGACTAGTTGGAAACTACCGTATTAAGCCTGAAAACAAGGAGAAATTGTGGGAAATTGTGAGGTAAGCAGTGTTCGAGTCTCAATAATCAGTCCGGCAATGCGCTTGTGACTTACGGTACGGGTTGTGGGGGAGGGGAAAAGCGATTGCTTACCTTCAGGTTATGAGGCTTAAGGTTTACCGCTCTATATCACAGCGACAGCAAACAAGACGAAAATGTCAAGTCACCCTATTTTGGTATGAAATAAAACCAGTGTCCAATGTGTATAATTTATATTGATTAACAAATAAAATAAAATATATTTAGAATACTTAAATGAGCACCAACAGTCTGAAGTCAAATAATGCTTTTTAGAAAATAATAATAATGTGTACAATCTACAGATTATCAAAAAGTGGAATGTAAGTACATATTACGTGGAAATAAAGATCTTATGAGACACTAATAATGATTAGACACTAATAAAAATATAAGAGGTATAATTTAATTTAATTATAACTCTTATTTTCATTGTATTAAGTTTTAGTTTTCTGTTGTCAAATTGTTACTAACACATTTATTTTTTACAAATATTTCTATTATTCTATGTTTAAAGTTAACTATAGTAAATACTTATTTTAACTTTTTGTATAATTGTATAATATTAATATATCTCTGGGGCATGGACGGAATGACTCCACATCATATTTGTAAATTTTAAATAACTATAGGTACTTACATATATTATCTTAATCTTTGATACAGTTTTTACAATGGAGATTCCTAATTAATAAAATTATTAGATCTATATAATAGGCACCTCTCATACATTAAAACACCCAAGAGAGGTTAAAAAATTAATACTGTATTTTGTTCATTAAATAAAAAGGTGGGACAAACAAAAAAAAAATACTTTGGAAGTCTTGGACGGAATGTAGATTTAGACAGTCTATAGTACAATGTTTTAAATTATATTTTTAATCTTTTAAGCTGACACATTTATACTACTTACTTTTCACTTAAGTACATACATGGCCAATAACTTTAAACCTGTGTAAAATGGACTTCAAATGAGAATGCAAGTAATTTTAGCATTAAGATAAAACTATGATGGAGATAAGGTCAATTTTCCTATATAACAATAAATATTAACTATCATTTAATACATTTAGTTAGAGACATACTAAATTTATTGAAACAAACGATTTACACACGTGAATTTACTGAGGAAAACTCTACATACTAGTTTTCAGTCAAGTCAGAACGGGACTCTTATTAATGAGATTCGCATCGCGGCCACTTCGCACAACAGACTCAAACAAACGTAATGCCTTCAAACTAGTGATCTTTTCACATTTGATTTACGTAAGTCGTTAATATCAATAAATAAAACGATTAACTGGAAAAGTTTTTTATAAATTTAAGATTTAGGTACGAGGATATACAATACCGTCAACGTATCTTGGCGAGTGTGAAGTTAGCCGATTAGCTGCGCAGTATACAATTTTGTGCCTAAAAGATCCATTACGCAGACAAACGGCTAACTTCAGACTCGCCAAGATACGTCGGCCGTGTAAAGTCTGTGCGGTTTACGTACGAGGATATATATTCATAGACATCCACAAAATGAAAAGAAGACCATTTTGCACAATCCTAAATAAAAACAAAAGGAGATAAAATAACAAACAATAAACTTACTCCTCTTGTCATACACAGCGGATAGACACTCTAAATATAAGCACATCATCCTTGACAAAGCCATTCCTGATGACGTCACTGACTACAGCATATTCTGTATACCCAAACCCTCGAACGCAGATCTCTGCTGAGGGCTTCCTAAAGGCTATGAGTGAGGAGTTGGACATCATAGTGTCCTTCTGAGTCAGTTCAGGGTTGTACTGGTTGATCATTGCGAAGGAAATGCGCCCATTGAACGGCCAGTCGAGACAGTCATCGTTTTCTGTTTTCATCAAGTGCACGTGGAGGGCGAAGCAATGAGGGTTTTGAGGTGATATGTTGAGGCGAACGCAGAATCTGGAATGTTGAGATCATTACGATATAAAAATAATAAATAAATATTGTGTTATTTCTCTGGAGCCCTGACCACAGACTGCTTGGTGTTCCAAGCAGCCTGTGGTTGCTTTGCGTTGTCCCGTAACCGGTGGGATACTGCTTTTTTAAGTGTTTTTTTTTTGTATTGTTAAAATATGTTAAAATGAAAAATTCAAGTTTAAAAATAAATGAATATTGTGATACATTTTAAAAACATATGAGTGTAAGTATAGGTTTGGTATTCAAGCTTGTCTTAGTTAAAATAAGCTACCTCAGATGAATATGCTTTCTTTGATATGCTACTTTTTTCTACAAAGAGAAGTGTGCACATGATCAATTATAATTTGCAATCTGCAACTCAATGCAGTTAAAATATGTACTTTTCGGTTACACATTTTTGGTTTTAATCGATTTATTGATAGATAAAGAAGATAACAACAGAATTTTAGTTTGGGTTTTTATTTACCTGAGTTGTTGACATGAATATTTTAGTAAATTTTGCTTGCTTATGTAAGTTTCAGTTTAAATTGAATTTCTAAGGAAAATAGTGTTTATGGTTTTGTTTGAACTAATTTTGCAAGACAGCCTATCGAATTTAAGGTTTCAGTGGTCATAGAAAATGGTTCATTAAGCTTAATGAATTTTGACATAAAAAAACACATGTGTAAGTACGGCGTTACAAAGAAGAAAATCTTAGAAAAAACAATCTCACCTGTATCCATTAGGCGACGTATAAAACCCAGGGCTGTACAACATTTTGTAATGATCCCTCAACATAGCATCAAGTCTTGCTTTGAAGTTGTCAATCCTCCACACATAGTTGCCCATACAGTATCGGAGGAACATGTCATTATTTTGTTTCATCTTGGCTACTGCAAAGGCTGATAATTGCTTGGACATGTTGGCTATCACTATATCTTGTTCACGATTCCTTTGTTCTAGTACTACTACTCTTTCGTACAGGGCCCTGAAAATGTTATGGTATTTATTTATTACTTTATTTCTTACTTTACTTTGACTAGTGTGGGAGCTGGATGCTTCCGAGCGACTAGGCCGGCTCGACCGGAGTGATACCACGACCTCATAGAAAACCGGCGTGAAACAACTCCTTCCCCCTCCCCAATCTCTAAATCTCCTAATCCCCAAAAGATCGGCAACGCACTTGTAACTCCTCTGTTGTGTCCATGTGCGGCGCTGATGGCTTACCATCAGGTGATCCGACAGCTCGTTTACCGACCTATCACATGAAAAAAAAACTTGGAAATCTGACTGACAAAAATAAGGTCTCAAGTGAAAATTTCTTAGTTGGGCCCACGGTTGGGCCCGTTTCAGATCAGAAGAAGGAAGGGGTGGTTTTTAGTCAGTAACAGTCTGACACTTTCTCTTGCCTCACCTAGAGTGAGAGAAGCAAAATTGATAATTATCCTAGAAAAAATGTGTAAATTCCGTTATAATTAACTTTTGGAGTATCTACTCTGTGCTTTAACGTACATTCCAAAAATACATCTGTATTTGATGGCTAAAATGAAGCAGTATGTTTCATACTTTCTATCAAACACCTTACACCTTAATTACCCTACGCTAAACAGTTCCAACCTTATTATTTACAGCATAAAGTGTAAAATCTCACCAGTACATGCATTTGATGCATAAAAGGCATAATAAAGTTTATGTAAGTTATCTGACCTTATAAGTGCACTGGTGTTATTAAGTGGCGCAGACGCCGCCTGGTTGCCGTCCTTATCGGGCGCTTCCCAGAGTGTCATGGCCTCCTGTTCCTTAGCGTCAATACTTGCGTTCGACATGTCGTTGTTGATCTTCATTTCTGAATAGGCATTCATTAGAAGCTGAAAATATTTATATTTTTACTAACATGATAGTCCTCAAGATATATTTTTAAGTTTGTGCTTGCAAAAAATCATTAGTGTAATGCAAAATGAACTGTCAGCCATTTGCAGCAAGGTTCATTTTGCATTGCAAAATAATTATAGGGAGACTTAAAAGTTCAACATTTTATTTCGGAATAGGTATAATCTACCTATACTATTATTATAAAGAGGTAAATTTTGTAAGTTTGTATGTTTGTATGTAGGGGGTAATCTTTGCAACCGCTGGTCGGATTGCCAAAATTTTTTACTGATAGATAGCTTTAATGTTCCTGAGTGCTACAGGTTATAAAACATCACGCTACGATCAAATGGAGCTGAGCAGCGAGTGAAATCGCGCGAGAATAGCTAGTAATTTATAATTTTGATACAGATTGTGCATTTCCACACATTTTAATTGGGCATTCAGTTGCTTGCAGATTGATTGTAGAAAAAATTAGCATATCAAAGAAAGCATATTCATCTGAGGTAGCTCATTTTAGGCAAGACAAGCTTAAACACCATAATTTATACTAACGCTCATATGTTTCTGGACATCAGTCTCAGCATGGTGGTTCATATCCTCCTGGCTATCGAAGGTCTCCTTGCAGCCAACAGTTTGGAAAGAACAAGGTACTCTGATCTCTGGCTGTGTCGAGGTTTCTGGACGATTGAACTCGCACGACGCTATGTGAGCGTCTAAATCTAGTGGTGTTACTTTTACTGTGCAACCTGGAATGAAAGATAATTATATAAGTTCTTTTTTTTTTCTCAAAAAAAAAAATTCATTGCCCCACACTAGGATTTCTCCTTTGTGGTGGGTGCGTTTACAAACATACAAATAATAAAAAAAATCACATGCACATCACACCTAGACCCGGAATAACAATCGGTAGATCACACAAAGAGTTGTTCCGTGCGGGAATCGAAGTTGCGCGGCAGCCAGTTTTTTTTTTTTAAGTTGCCTTACACTTGGATTTTCTCCTGTGTTGTGAGTGCGCTTACAAACATTCAATTTGAAATACATATGACACCCAGACCCGAAACAACAATTTATGGATCACACAAAGTGTTGTTCCGTGCGGAATCGAACCCGCGTCACGTTGCACGGCTGCCAGTTACCCAGCCACCGCGCCAACCGTGCAGTCGAAGTAGATTTATGACTAACATATTATTATATTTATGACTTACTTCGCACGGGGGCCTTATAGGTCATAGCACAATGTTTTATAGCCAAAAGCCTTCTTTTATAAAAAGACCTTCCTCTTGAATCATTCTATCTTTAAAAAAACCGAATCAAAATCCGTTGCGTAGTTTTAAAGATTTAACCATACATAGGGGAGGGGGGGACAGAGTAAGTGACTTTGTTTTATACTATGTTGTCATTCTCGTGTCACAATGTTAGTTACTTTACTTTTTTGAAGCGGCATGCATCAGTAGGTCTTAGAATCAGCCATTTTTTCATAACCCTAAGATAAATAATTTAAATGGTAAAATAATGTTTGCCAAGTTAGCTAGTAATATTACAGTAGTAGCAAAGATTACTAACTAACATGTTTCCAAATATCTATGAGTCAATTATAATAATTAGGAAATTACCTTTAGTAGAGAATGGGCAGTTCATTCTTTGTTCTTGTATCTCCCTTTTAGTGTAATTGTCTGGGAATATATCCACCTTCATACTCAAGTTTATGTTATCTATGGGGCAGTGGCCACTGTTCCTGGAAGCGACAAATAGAAGAGAAATATTAGTATTCAACCTTAGGGTCAGAACTGTATGCACATTTTAAAAGAGCAACTTTGAGTTGCTCAGCAGCCTTAGATCCTATTAGACAAGATACACATTTCATGCCTTTTACAATAGCTGCTTCACTGGCCTCTACTGGGCTCACTATTTGTGAATTGACCCTTAGCTTGGTACCCCTCTGTAGGTTGAGAATATTATTTGTTATCCTATATTTTTAATTTAATTTCATTACTGGTGCTCCATTTTCTTATGAGACACCTTTTGTTTACAATACAATACTGGCAAAGAGCCAGATATTAATCAAATGTTACACTAGAAACAGTAATGAATGATGTATGACTAATGTATCATTGATTTAAACTTGAATAAATATAACCCAAAACTTTTTATATATAAATAGAATTAGAATAATTATATATAAATAGAATTAGAATAATTATATATAAATAGAATAAATAGAAATTATTTATATATTTAATAAATATTCCTCCAAAGACTATTACTTACCCTGTCTCAACATATTTACTTAACCTATGTAAGAATGAAGTGCATACAAACTACATTCTTTATTCAAATTTATTTGATACAAAGAGGCTTTTTAGACATTGTGAAGCAGGACCTTAAAAAAGGTTGTATATTACTCACTGTAACCATGAAGTTATACAGCTCTTGCAAAACTTATGACCACAGGTTGTTATGACTGGGTCTCGAAGCCAGTTTAGGCACACAGGACATTCATAACGAGACTCCGGCTGATTACTTAGCACTGTTTCATTTAATGCCTGTATTCCCATAGGCTAGAAAAAAACATGAGAAGTTGTAACGGAAAATATTTTTTTTAACACATTCAGTGCCCCCGACGCACCTGTGCGTTCTATACATTAATGTATTGAACGCACAGGTGCGTCGGGGGCACTGAATGTGTTAAATATTACATACACCTCATAAATTCTCTCAGTGAAAAAAAATTGAGGCAGTCTAAGGAAGGTATATTAAAAAGATACACAGAGGAAACAGATTGGTTAAATAAATTGTAGATAAGGAAGTTTAAAACTAGATTTCATGACTTAAGGTTTAACTATACATCAGCTAGATTACTGTTTACACTACAAATATTAGTGTGAACACACCTGAGCATCAAGAACTCAATTGAGAATTAATTTACCGTTTCGAACTTGACCTTGGTTGAAAAAAAACCTCAATAACAAATTGCTGACAATGAATTGTTACTAAAAGTTTTTAAAAAAACGAGTCAACAAAAATATTACAAAAGTTATACTTACTGCAATACCTTCGGACGCATCTTTACTCCTGTCTCGATCCATTACGTCATTTAATCTTTAAATTAACGTTTATATTGAACAGTTTCGTCTTTTTTTCTAAAGTTTCAACGAGTAAGCAAACTGCCAAAACACTATGCTAATGACAGGTGCATGACACATTGCTTTTGACATTTTAGCCACAGATCATAAAACAAAACAGCTGTTCGATAGCATAAGATTTCTGAACGTCCCTTTTAATAAAATAAAGATTTAAAAAAAAAAAGATTTCTGAACGTCTATTTGGTTGAGAAGAAGGTATCTTATATGTATAATATCATCTAAGTAATAACTTAAGTTGATTGTTGGTTTATTAGATGATTTGCTAATTTTGGGAATATTCCCTTTAGAACTAGGTAATTGAAAAAAAAGATTCCCTTCGGAGTCAAGATTTTTATAGTAGAATGGAGTTGTTACTCGGAATAATGATCGAAATAATTACTACAATTTTTTTGTTTATTAATAAGTAATCCTGTGAGTTTCTATTGATACGTTGAATATCGTTAAGAAGAAACCTTCCAATGGTAATCGGAAGTGATTAAAAAATCTTGAAGACGTGTATTGAACCTTTAAGTACGGGACATTCCGATCGGTTACGTAGAAAATACTCGTTGGTTAACGATTTCATTGTATGCTAATGTGTTTGTAGACGCGAGACCGACGTTGCTCAGATATCTATCTTCTGATGGTGTTGCGATGTCAATAACCGTTATATTCGTTAGAGGCTGAGTATATTGCTATGAGAAGTAATGTAGGCGCTTGCAACCCAATAGTTGTTTTCTAGATCATTAAATTGAAATTCCTTTTAAGAAGTCTAAATCGTTAGGTACATCAAACCATATTTCAAATCAAAAGGTTGTCGAAAGTGTGATAAAAATAGAAAGATACGGGTATTTTTTAAATATAATATTATAAAGAGGTATTTGTAAGTTTGTATGTAGGGGGTAGGTAATCTTTAAAACTGCAGGTCGGATGGCCAAAATTCTTTCACTGATAGATAGCTATAATGTTCTTCAGTGCCATCCAAACTAACATTATAAATGCGAAAGTAACTCTGTCTGTCTGTCTGTCTTTTCTTCACGCCTAAACTACTGAACCTATTTATGTAAAATTTGGTACAGACATAGTTTGGAACTCGAGAAGGAGTATAGGATAGTTTTTAAACCAAAAATGTGCAGGAAGTTACTATTCCACGCGAACAAAGTCGCGGGCAAAAGCTAGTAGGCTATAATACATCACGCTATGATCAATTAGAGCCGAGGTAGTATATAAATAATTTTAAACTTTTACTACGCAAAAATCACTCTTGATAAGTCTGACTAACCATAGACACATAGGCAGGTATTTACATACTTAGGTAAATGTTGCTAGTCTAGGTACCTATATAATAGTACCCAAAAATTTCGGTTTCGGTAAGCAGAATTGTGACTCAGAAATCGATATATTTATCTACCTATTATATTTAGTTTACAATTCAAGACATTGCAGTTCACCACAAAGGCCTAAGCATACTGACCAATTTGTAAACAAAACGTTATATGTTCATAAATTAACAGTATTGAATTTCCAATCTTATTTGAGCCAAATAAAGCATGATTTGCTATGAATAACATCACGGATCATTATTGCCAAATCGGTCGCATATCAAATTCAAAGCGGCTAGCGTTGAGCAACTTGTCATAGGCTTACATAAGGCTAAAGTCGCACTATTATAATTCCAAAGATAACGTTTAAAGAGGTGCCAAGTGTTTGTGTGACGGAATTTTCTGATTGGTCTCTTTCTATTGAGGTTATGGCTTCTGTGATATGAAGCTGTTGTGTTGCATTTTCAATTCATTCAAATTGAATTTCGAAAATAATCAAATCATTCATACCTATCACTTATGCCCGTTTTCACCAACAGCCCCTAAAATTTAAGTGTCTCTTAAGCCAATATAAGGGACACTTATCGCGAGTTTTGTTTTCACCAACGTTTAAGTGTCACCTATATCATTAGGGGTTCCTTATAATTTAGGGGATGAATTGACGACCCCGTAACGTTTAAGTGACACATAGTGTTAGGTTATTTTGCGAATCACCAAACAGTTTTTTATCCTACTGAATAAGATAAAAAATAATAAAAATGGATAATAACCACTATTTATTTGAAGATTTTAAGCAATTGAAGATATGGAATTGTTAAGTAACCGACATTTGTATAGACGACCTCGTATTTATCGTGAAAGATCGAAAGATTTTGAAATATATGATGAAAAAGACTTTTTCATAAGATACAGGTTCCCTGCTCAACCTTACTTGTATTTAAAGAAATAAACCTGTGGCACCGATTAACCAATTATTGTGTGGCCTTAGATTTTATGCAACAGGCAATCAATTATTATCTGTAGCAGATCTCAATCCCATCAGTGTATCTACTTGCAGTAGAATTATAAAAAGAGTGTCTGACGCTATCGTGGGTCGTGGCAAAGCGAATTCATACAATTTCCAGGACACCGAAGAAAAACAACAAATAGTAAAAGAAGAATTTTACAGAATAGCTCGATTTCCAAATGTTTTAGGATGTATAGACTGTACACACATAAAAATTCAATTATAAGGTTGGGCGTTTAGAGAAACACAGCTCCTTACGAGTAACCATTTATTACTGAATCTCCTATGAAATAATACATGATTTAATAAGATGGATAGACACGCACACATACAGATACGGCAGATCTTTGTGTCATATTTATTGAGCCTCCAGCGAACACCGTCGTTCGCACACCTATCGTCTTACTATGATGCCTCTTATAATGATATTCAAAAGTCTTTTAAATGTATTAAGTAGAAACCTTCTTTACATTTATTTATGTGATAAATTATAGGAGGAGATGATGCCGAACTATTCCGGAATAGAAAAGGCAGTATGTCTATTAATATGCAAACAATAAGTACTGCAAAATTATTAATAACTGATGTGGTGACACACTAGCCAGGATAAACAACATTCTTTATCTTCAAGTGAAAAATATTGACCACGTTTCCTCTTTTCTGCCATTGTAATTATGTAATAAAAATTTGGTATTTTTTGAAAATACACGTACCTAATGATTGAAATGAAACTGTCACTGGATAGTGGCATCAAAATGTCACCGGCACCGCGTCTTTGTAAGCTATGGCATTCAACATACAGCCTAAAAATAAAAACACAACTTTTTGTTACTAATCTAACATTCACCAGTTCAAGACTCTTCTTTTCGAAATAAATTGAAGTTAGAAAAGTTAATTACTTGTTTTAAGGTTGTATATTTACGAAAATAACAATAGAATTGTCTAATCGATTCATTTATCGATAACTGTTTGCATAGTTCCTCAACACTAAACGTCACCTAATTAGGGGGCTCTTAATTAGGTGACACTTAGGACGGTGAAACAAAATTTAAGTTAAGGGATGATTTGAACGGTCCCCTAAGTTAAGTGGCCCTTACTAAGGTGACTGTTTAGGGGCTGTTGGTGAAAACGGGCATTAGACCATTAATGGCATTTTTGAACGTCAAACAATTCGATCAATTAGACCATTAAAAAACTTAATTGAATGGAATTTTATTAATTTCAGAAATACAAGTTGTAGCTGGAGCAATGTCTTTAACCATGCAATAGTTAATTAGAGCAAGAAATGTTCTAATAACAACACAAAATTCGAAATAATTCTTTTTCTTAATTATCATAAATCTTATTAATTGCAGAAAGCTGAAGTACCTATTCGGACACTTCTTGATGTAATGGGTTCCATACAAGCTGGCAGTGGCTGGGCATAGGCTGGTGTGCAACATGCCGAAGGTTCGATTAGGTATCGCTTGGAACAACACTATATATGATCCGCAAATTGTGTTTTGGGGTCTGGGTGGCTTGTGTAAGTATGTCAAATTGTACGTTTGTAAGAACAAAAACGACACAGGAGAAAATGCTATTGCATTTTTTATTTTTTTAAGGGAAAAAAGTCATCATATGACTTCTCTCGGCCTGGATGGGAGAGAGGGAGTGTCAGACTCTTACTGACTATAAACTACCTATTTTCTTCTCTTAATCAATGCCGAGGCCGCGGTACCTACATTATTGCGCTTTACCCCACAACCCCGACTCCAAAATCCAAGTGTAAGTCAATTTAAAAAAAGAATAACAAACTGAGTTTAAACATATTTAGGAAAAGTTCAACCGTAGTGAAATATGTTAATACGGTTTACTTTTAATTAAATAATTTGGGGATACCTGAAATCTAATTAAATGAAGAAACTATGCTTGATATAAAAATATAATTGATTAGTAGTCACAAGTAACTTATAATATATAAACATCTACTAGACAGAACCGTTATAAATCGATGGGGGCATCGATAAAATTATACAGAGAGCATTTTACATTGCTTTGTACTTACCATGCCCCGAGCATTTATGGCGCGAATTGTCTACAAGTTTCTTGTGCCCCTACCAGTCATCGAGCATTTAAACGATGCCAGTAACTAGCTCCAGTAGCTAAGCACAAAATGTTTGCGATGATGATTCGTATAATAGTTTCCTCAACAGCATCTAATACCATTCTATTGCCATTGCACTTGGACTAAATGAGGCATAGCTGATGTAGACAAGTTTTTATTATAGTCAACTTGCTCTTTACAAGTATTGGTTTTTTAATGTAAATTGCAATTGTAAATATTTATGTTGTGTATGTAGGAACATAGTGAAGGAATTAGATTATTTTCCTTTTTCAAATGTTTGGATATATATTACAGTTGAAATTGCCGAAGTAATTTTGTTTTTGAAGACGAGATTCAATATAATGTAGGTTTAGGGAATGCTAGCATGTCACAAACAATCCGTGACAGAGCTTATTCTCCATTTAAAGGGCTAACCCCAATCTCCACGCTTGGCAGACTGGTTGGAGATCTCAGTTTTAAAGGTTCAGAATGATTATCACCAGAGATCGCTTCTGCCAAAGCTTTTTCTAATGCTTAGGACTCTTACGAAATTCGCAAGATAAAAGGGGTGGTCCAAACTTTTTCTCCCTTGCCGTCACAACTTGGTTAAACTACAGCAAAACAATACACATTTTTTGAGGTGAGAAATCATCTAATGACA